TACTAAACCTTATAACTTCCAATACAAATGCAATGGACTTTTCCCAACCATGGGGTCTCTGATCTCACATCTTCCCCCATTGAAGTTAAAGGGGTGATATGTTACATCAGATGATGTCACCAAATTCAGGACAGGAGCAGACTGTGAAGTCCAGATTAAAGAGACAGAGAGGAATTACACGCGATTAGATCTGTAGCCCCCCACTGGGCAGCAGAGTAATTTAAGGGCAAATGAGCGGTGGCTTTCCATCCACTCTTCACATTCTAAAGCCGTCCGCATGCTTCCCAGCTGAAACAGTTCTGACCAGTTTGTGCATATATTATGATGCCTTTTTGTTCGTTCTGGTCTTCGGCAAGGGTTTTTTCGGCTGTTTGTGCACATTAAATTTTTTCTCAAACCAAATTGAAGTCGGTAGCCGATGTCTACGCCCCTTCTTCGGTGATTGGTCAACAGTAGGGATTCTACAATGAAGTGTTTGTTGTCATTCAATGAGAGACTAATCGTTTTCATGCAAATTTTTTCACTTGCGAAATACGGCACCAAACATCTTAGTTAGATGTAAAACGATCTCCTCTGCAAAAAATGTCAAAGTTAAATGACAGATTTCTTGAGTTATTTTCGATTATTTTGAGGAAGCGTATACTGGCCACGGAGTCTCAAGATGGACAAACAGTACTACTGCCGCTTTTTTTTCTCGATTTTCAAGCGAAGGTTTATTAAGGGAGTATGCGAGCACACTCGTTCGGTTTGGCTAGGCGCTAGCCGAACCGAAGCATGCGGAAGGCTTACGTGGTGTTACCACTCTCTGTACCCATGTTCTGGATAATCACTGGACACAATGGACATGTGATGTAGGTGAGTTAGGGATAGATTTAAACAGAGCCTTCTATTTACAATAAAAGGCTCTGGGTTTAAATAGCTCAGAATGCTGCTATCACTGGGGCAGTGGCAGAGTTTTGCAGAGCCTAAACAAATACACTCTAATTGCGTTTAGAAATGATAACAACTGCAGCTTCTAGGAGTTGTGTACACTAAGGAACATAATGCCTCTACAGCAGCTGTAGCTCTCCTCCTCCTCCACCCCTCATACAATGGATGATGGAATGATATGACACATTAACAGTTGTTTACTGTGTGACATCCAAGTGTGAACAATTGGGAATATTTTGCTCCACCAATGCCAGATGGCATCCAAAAGATCTAGCCTAAATCACATGATTTACATGTAAGTATCAATGATGACATGACATCACTGTCCCTTTCTGTACATATAGTTCAGTCCTAGTTGATATACCAGCCCACTCCAACTTCCACCCTCTACATCAGCCACAATACAGTCAGTAGCTCACCACTTCAAGAATACACCATGGCAACAAACATCATTACCACCAAATATGTACCCAAGAATATGATCTCACAACATAGTATGAAAAAACCTCAGATAATAAAACCACCACAATGATGACAAAACAAGACATGAGCCATGACACGAATGAGAACAATTTTCCTAAGCAAACAAGTCTCAAGTCAAATGTTTGGCAAGATAATGACATTAGGCCGACCAAGTCTCTCTGCAGTTTGATATTACAGATCTATTAACAGAGTATAATCACTATTTGATACCACATGTCAATTATTATTTTTTTTAAAAACTGGGGGAAAGACCTTGCAATGGGGACACAATTCCATGTCAATAACTGACGCGTAATGGACACAATTCGAGGGTCTATTTTCCTTGCCATTCGTGCGCACTGGAGAGGTATTTCTAACTAACTGTGTAGCTATATGATTAATAGATCAAATTGGTCTTTAAATGCAAATGAATTAAATGAACCATGTCCTAAAATGTGTCAGTTTATTTGAGTCGAATCAACTGTTGTAATCTAGTTGTGGCCAAAAGCACACTAAAACTCACGGTGTCATTTACAATGAACGAAAAGCTAAACAATTCCCATTGTAAGTTGGCTTTCAACATGTTTTGTTTTAGAAGCCTACATAAAGGAATTTTGCTAGGGTACTTACATGTACTCGAATCGTAGGGGACCGGCTATGGTCGCTTACAAAAGCAGGGACTGGGCATTTGTGCGCCGCTGCAACAGAGAGCATGAAAGCCCATTTAGGGCGAGCGCAGAGCGCAGACTGTCCCTGATAAAAATATAACCCCCTCCCCTCGCCCGGGCGCTGCAGCATGCCACATGCACAGTGAAATGTCAGCACACTGTCAATATAGCATATATAAAGTTAGCAGCATGGTCTTCTCTATCTTTGAAGCTATGATTGGATTGTATTTATTTATTTGCTAAAGCATAGGCTACATCTACAATGTCAAGTCTGGCCATTTCATGGATCAAGATACGCTTGAACAAAGATAACTTGAAACCTAAAGACACTTGTATTTATCCAAATATGACACGGGAATCAAATTCACCTGTTTGAAAGTTCTCACAAAATACTGTAAGGCAAACTAATTTGAGAAGTACTCTACCACCTCTAAGTATAGAACACTGTCTCTAGTGCCCACACAGGCACTTTGCCATTTCACTTAAAGGTGTTCAGCAAAATGACGTCGCACAAGCAGCAACGCAATATTGCAATGAGGAGATGCAAGATGAGCGAGATGCAATATTCGGCTATCGAACAGTCAAATTGTATTTGGCATGCTGCACAGGTTCGCGTCACACTCTTACAACGTGGTAGCCACGGGAACAAAACAGTGGAGAAGTTTAGCATTGCGCTCCAAATCTCTTGGCTGTTGCTGAAATTGACCCACTATGCTGTTTACTTTGTGCATCTACGTTATATCACTGACTCTGCCTTTAAATTAACAGGGTACAAGGACCAGAATACATTGAAAGGGGGATCAGATCAGAGAGCTGGGTCAGAGGCCCTTGTACAAATTAGGCAACAAGTGAGAGGGAAGGATGCAGCACTGGCAGTTCCACATCTGAAGAGGCCAAAGATAAAACTTTTAAAATAACACAAAGTCACGGATAACTACTTAGAATAACCTCTCCCTAAGTGAGAGTCTGAAGTTTGATTCATACTCTTGCTTGGGCCATTACAGGTCTTGAACAATAAGAATATATGTGACCTTATAAACATAATTGCACTTGACCCTGTGTGGCCATACTAAGGTCAAAGGTCATGAAAGAAAGGGTAAACAGCACTGTGGCTTATAACCTATTAGGTCATGGAGGTGGGATAACCTTATAGCCATGTCTCTCGTACAAAATAGTAAAACAGACATTTGGAAACATGATATTGTGAAAATATCTTCATTAAAACACATGTAAGATGGGGGTGAAATCAAACCATGTACAATAACAGTTAACAGGTGCTGCTCAATTGAATGAATGAAATGCAAACAGTAACAATGTCGAAAGTACTAATAATCAAATGAATTTACATTTGCTAAATTAAAACAAGATCACAGAATGTTCTCTGTCCTGAAAAAATGCCTCTTACATGGAAATTGCACCTCAAAACTTAAAATGAAAATGTATGTTATGGCCCATAAAACAGGTGTACAGGTATGACCTTTCTAAGTATCTAAACAGAGAATATATATGAAATAAAAAAGGGCCATAAAGAACCAAAGGTGCAGTTGGAACAATATAAAAACAATGCATTCACTTATATGCTCATACAGCAGTGTCATTGATTTACAGCAGCTTGAGATTAATAATATCACTTGTAACAACAGGAATATCCCTCAGTAATAAATTAAAGCATACACATTATTAACATTTTGTTATCCTGCAAAATGTTCTAGCAGCTCGTTTTTGCATTCTGACTGCCTGGTATCAAATACAGGGTGGAAATCAAATCAATCAACAATGCGTTGTTTTTTTTTAAAGCTAGTCTTTAATTGAAACAATAACAAAGCGGTCACGGTCTGTTTTGGTTAAAAGCTGATAGATGGGCCTGGAGAAATGTAACCACTCTCAGATTCATAGACAGAGCTATGGATGCATGTACTGACAATCTATGATATAACAATTATAGTTTTAACCATGGTTTAAGGCTATATAGTGTTAGTTTACATTTACATCGTTTCCAAACATTGGAGTAAAACAAGCTTATATTTTGGTTTCTGATGGGGTACAACCGTTGAACTAAACTTATGAGGCATTTATAAGTTATATTCTTCAAGAATTAATGGGTAGATATCATTAATTTATAAGTCCAAAAAATGAATGTAGCAACTAAGAATTCTAGCTTTAAACTAATTTGTCGTATTAAAGCAATATATTTGTTGTAATTTAAATGACTGACAATACAACTTTCCTTTTCCTTCCACTTTGGGTTTTCATGCCATAAGAACCACCATTTCTACATCGCTTTATATAAATGTGTTTTTTCATAATACGAAACTAGTTTTCAGAAAAGCATTTCAGATCAAATCAGTCGAGATTTGGATATTCATGTTGAACAAATTACTTTTAAAGGGGCAATCTGCAATGCTACATAAATGTTTTGACTTTTAAATTGATGACATATACCCATTGATTGTTCAAGAATATAACTTATAAATACCTAATTAGCTTAGTTCAACTGTCGTACCCCATCGGAGCCCAACAAATAAGCCTGTTTTACTTTGTTTGTAAATAATGTAATTGTAAACAAACTATATAGCTTTAAAACATGGTTCAAACTATAATTGTAATATCATGGATGGTCAGTCCTTGCATCCTTAGCTCTGTCTATGAATTTGAGATTGGTTAAATTTCTCCACCCCCATCCCTCAGCTTTTTACCAAAACAGTGGTAGGGTGCCCACTTTATTGTTTGAACTGCAGATTTTCCTTTTAAATGTTTTCACTTCTTTTTATTTCCATTCCAAAAATTCTACATTTCGATATAGGTACATTGGATCTTACGGCACGAGAACCCTCAGTGTTCTATAGGCTAGGTGAGAGGATTCCAAGGAAATTAACCTCTGTTCCAGCTCTCCTCCCTTCTCTCCACATCCTGCCAGGTTGTGAGTACTCAGGCACACACCAGGAAAGGGTGGGAGAGGGCTCTGGAAGCTGAGATGCGATTGGTTGGGCTGAACTCTAGACATTGCTGCAGGCAGAGAGAAAGAGCAAGAGAGAGAGTGTGTGTGCTTTAAAAGTACAATAGAATTCAATGATTCATTAACTCTGAAAATGCCTTGTAATAGAAACATGATTCAACATGTGTATTTTGTACATACAAGGAGCAGGTTGTTCTCCTCCTGGCCCAGGTTGGATAAGAGCTGGGTGCAGGGGTCTCTGGGGCACCAGCTATGGGAGTAGGAGATGGGGCTCTCCCTGGGCAAGCCAATCACCCTGTGGGACATGGGGCAGAGCACAGATACACCCCCAACACAAGGCACTGGTAAAACACACATCATACATTATTCAAATGCTTATCATAAATTACTGATCAAAAGTAGTGCACAGTAGAAGAAAAAACATACTCAAAGAATTTCTGGAGCTGCTGAGCCTCAGTGTATCCACGGAACAATGCCTCACAAGGAAGAGTTCGGCAAAAATGCAGCCAGCGCTCCACATGTCCACGGAGGACATGTAACCAGAGTGGAGCAGCACCTCAGGGGCCCTGTACCACAGTGTCACCACCTGAAGAGAGAGAGAGAGGAAGGGAGAGGGTGTGAGATGTTGGATAGGAAATATACTTTTCACTTTTATGCATTTTTCCTTCACCTTAGTTAGGCTGGGGGACAATGGCACTGTGACAATTGAACAGATAGTGCATTCAAAGGAGGATGTTCTACTCTGTAGACTTACACAGGGTGTAAGGGCGATGTGATACCAGTACATTCTCTGGCTTCAGGTCGTGGTGCACCAGCATGTTGGTGTGCAGGAAGTCCAGCCCCTGCAGCAGCTGCACCATCACATCCTGTACAGACAGGAAGCAGCATTACAGCATTGCTCAACCACTTTCTCTGACTGTGGCTTATTCTGACAAGATATGAAGACATATGGCATGAAAAGGTCAAAAGAGAGTACAGTAAAATGTTATACTAATTCTTAATGGAACGCTTCCGAGTCATTGAGTTATTATCAGATGCAGGTACAGTGAGGGAAAAAAGTATTTGATCCCATGCTGATATTGTACATTTGCCCACTGACAAAGACATGATCAGTCTATAATTTTAATGGTAGGTTTATTTGTACAGTGAGAGACAGAATAACAACAACAAAATCCAGAAAAACGCATGTCAAAAATGTTATAAATTGATTTGCATTTTAATGAGGGAAATAAGTATTTGACCCCTCTGCAAAACATGACTTAGTCCTTGGTGGCAAAACCCTTGTTGGCAATCACAGAGGTCATACGTTCTCAGGAGGGATTTTGTCCCACTCCTCTTTGCAGATCTTCTCCAAGTCATTAAGGTTTCGAGGCTGACGTTTGGCAACTCGAACCTTCAGCCCCCTCCACAGATTTTTTATGGGACTAAGGTCTGGAGACTGGCTAGGCCACTCCAGGACCTTAATGTGCTTATTCTTGAGCCACTCCTTTGTTGCCTTGGCCGTGTGTTTGGGGTCATTGTCATGCTGGAATACCCATCCACGACCCATTTTCAATGCCCTGGCTGAGGGAAGGAGGTTCTCACCCAAGATTTGACGGTACATGGCCCCATCCATCGTCCCTTTGATGCAGTGAAGTTGTCCTGTCCCCTTAGCAGAAAAACACCACCAAAGCATAATGTTTCCACCTCCATGTTTGACGGTGGGGATGGTGTTCTTGGGGTCATAGGCAGCATTCCTCCTCCTCCAAACACAGCGAGTTGAGTTGATGCCAAAGAGCTCGATTTTGGTCTCATCTGACCACAACACTTTCACCCAGTTCTCCTCTGAATCATTCAGATGTTCATTGGCAAACTTCAGACAGGCCTGTATATGTGCTTTCTTGAGCAGGGGGACCTTGCGGGCGCTGCAGGATTTCAGTCCTTCACGGCGTAGTGTTACCAATTGTTTTCTTGGTGACTATGGTCCCAGCTGCCTTGAGATCATTGACAAGATCCTCCTGTGTAGTTCTGGGCTGATTCCTCACCGTTCTCATGATCATTGCAACTCTACGAGGTGAGATCTTGCATGGAGCCCCAGGCCGAGGGAGATTGACAGTTATTTTGTGTTTCTTCCATTTGCAAATAATCGCACCAACTGTTGTCACCTTCTCACCAAGCTGCTTGACGATGGTCTTGTAGCCCATTCCAGCCTTGTGTAGGTCTACAATCCTGTCCCTGACATCCTTGGAGAGCTCTTTGGTCTTGGCCATGGTGGAGAGTTTGGAATCTGATTGATTGATTGCTTCTGTGGACAGGTGTCTTTTATACAGGTAACAAGCTGAGATTAGGAGCACTCCATTTAAGAGTGTGCTCCTAATCTCAGCTCGTTACCTGTATAAAAGACACCTGGGAGCCAGAAATATTTCTGATTGAGAGGGGGTCAAATACTTATCTGTGATTGCCAACAAGGGTTTTGCCACCAAGTACTAAGTCATGTTTTGCAGAGGGGTCAAATACTTATTTCCCTCATTAAAATGCAAATCAATTTATAACATTTTTGACATGCATTTTTCTTGATTTTTTTGTTGTTATTCTGTCTCTCACTGTTCAAATACACCTACCATTAAAATTATAGACTGATAATTTCTTTGTCAGTGGGCAAACGTACAAAATCAGCAGGGGATCAAATACTTTTTTCCCTCATTGTATGTAAGCGGGAGAGTTCACACATACATTTTGTCCAGACTCAGTCCAGTGCTGGGGACCGTGGTGAGGAATGTAGACAGTTCCTGGTCGATGTACTCAAACACCAGCGTCAGGTCCAAACTCCTGTTCTTCAGACCAGCAGATACATCCAACAACCTTTCAGTAAGATCAGCAATTAAGGTCAATCATTGTGAACCATTTCTGCTAATGAAATGGCATGACACCATGGTATGCAATTATAAAACACCATCAAACTGATTTTAACCCTAAAGATCATTATATATAATTCATAGGCTATGCAAACATGTTCAGATATAATTTAATAACAGAAAAATGAACTTACTTTACAATGTTGGGATGGTTGAAATACCCTATCTTACGCAAGAGCGCCACCTCCCGGATCATGAAAGCAGGAATCCCACTCTCCGTGTATCTTCAACTTCTTCACCGCTACGAGTCGCTGTTGATCGCGGACCTCTCTGGCCTTGTACACTTTGCCATATGTGCCTTCGCCTATCTCTGCAAGTATTTCATAATTCTGATGTTCATCGCACCCATTGACGTTCATGACCGGCTGATTTCGTAGCTGGATGATGGAAGAGACCATGCGTAAATGCTTGACACATCAACTGGACAGTGATGTGAACAACTACTTCCACAAGCCAAGGCCTTTTACTGGTAGCCAGAGGCCTATGACTGTTCATGTGGGGGGTCAAGAAGTTCACGAGACTTATTTATCTAGCTAGCTAAGTGAACTACTTATGCAAGAGTGAACTTAATTATGAAAGAGTTAGTTCACGAGACTTATTTAGCTAGCTAGCTAAATGAACTACTTATGCAAGAGTGAACTTAATTATGAAAGAGTTAGTTCACGAGACTTATTTAGCTAGCTAGTGTCGTAGTAAATATATTTGTTATAGTGAATATGGAATATGATATGTTGAGTAAAATGTTGTGCTAAGATCTATTTAGGTCAGGAGCTGGTTATAAGTTCTGTTCCTATCCAATAACAATGGACAAAAGGGTCCTATCTTGTCAGCCTTGTCAGCAGGTGGCCAAGGACAACACCCATGCCATAGGCCTCTCAGTTCTTCCAACTCACGAGTTCTGCCTTGACACAAACACACACACACACACACACACAAAATCCCCTCTTTTAGGCTGAACATTTGAAGACAGAGAACCCGACTCAGAGCCAATGCAACAGTGACACTAGCCTGGAGGGGACCTCGCCCAACTCATCAGGACCAATCAGAAGATCAGAACTACTAGATTCAACCTACTTCATTTATTGCATAAAATGTCTGCACACAATGTTTCGGGGCTCTCTTCAGATAGCTCCCTACGAGTTTGACGAACGAGTCCGTGCACGCTTTTCCAGATATCTTTACCTCTGAATAAACTGCCTTATATTATACCATTATCCACCCTGTCCAAAAGTCTCTACTTGGTCTCAGTTCTCCAGTAAACTTGTGACATCAACACTAGCTAAATTAACTACTTATGCAAGAGTGAACTTAATTATGAAAGAGTTTAGTAAGCTTTAAACAAGACAAAGATTTTATGCATTGCCACGACATAATAGCTGGCTGGCTAGCTGACTAAGTAACCATCAACCTTCCTCCAGCTCCACCTAGCAACCACTTAGGAACCACTTGCTAGCTAACCAAAAGAGAATCTCAAAGCTGCTTTGTACAAGGTGCGGTTAGCTACACTTATCTAGCTAATATTTAATGAATTTTCAAAGATTAACTCACGTTCTCACACCATAAACTGCAGAGACATGACATACACTTTTAAGATGGTTATAAGGGACAACATTCTGGTACCGCCCCTAATTCGCCTCAACTAATCAGATCCCTCATCACCTCTGACATGCAGAAGACCTCTGTGCACGTGCCATCCTCATGTCTTGCACATTATCAACATGTTCATAATAAATACACCACAGTTTATCCATGGGATGTTGATGAAAGAATGGTAAATGCATTTTGTGACTTTTATCATAATAATCAAGCAATATGCCAGGCCATGATAACAGTATCAACAGAATTGTAAGGGATGATGATAGAAAGGTTAGACAAAAAGGTCCTTCATTATCACAGTTTGTGCTATTGTTACGAAGTCTCCCCATACATTTACAGAGTGGAATAATTCATTTTTTCAATAATCAGCATGAACATATTTTTGTATTCAATGTGTAATAAAGAGCAATGCACTTTGTTAATTTGAAGCAAGGCATGTTCATTCATAACAATCCAGTTTGTACATCTGTGTTCAAATAGAGGCATTCAGACATGTACAGTGGTTAGTGTTACAGCACAGAGCTTTTAAACATGGTTTACAATGTTGTGCTATGGCTTTTTTGCACCAGTAGAGGGTGTTAGTTTCAACCCAAATTATTGCATAGCTGAATTTAGCATAGCTGGTTGGAAGACTGTCTGAGAACTCAGACAGAAGCCACTGTTATCCACAGTATATTGAGTTATGATACGTTATTAACATGTTTGCAGCAGTTGTACTGGTATCAAATATATTGGTAACTTAATCTACTCCACCCATCACTTTTTTTCTCAATATATTAAAAGTGAAAATATTAAGTGTTAATCACATCTTACTGCACACTTGATTTATGAAAACCCAATGAAAAAAGCTATCTATCCCTGGGCAATCATTTCCAAAGGTCGATTGGTTGTAAACTCAATTTACAGATCTGATGCCGAGAGCATTCACAGAGAGATTCCTAGACGTTCAGTGCTGTTTCATCTGTTCAAGCAGTCAAGACATAATGGTTTAAATATGGATATGGCTGCCTGTGAATTCAGGCATTCAGAGAAAACAACATATGGATTTGTATGGAAGACCACATTTTGTTTTCCCTTAACAGTGAGAGAGCAGAGATCTAGTTACACCCTCAAAACACACAGTAACACAGTGACCATCTTGAGGCATCTTTTCACTGTGTTGAATGTAGGACCAGAGGCTGGTGTTATTGAAGCTTTGGTGAGCTGGGTGGAGTGGGGTGAAGTTGCCCCTAGATGCTGATCTTGGGTCAGTTTAGCGTTTTCCCCACTAATGTGGATTGGGGGGAAGGGAAGTTGATCCTAGATCTGTACCTAGGGAAAACCTCACCCGGAGCAACAACGGGTCGAGGGAGGCGGTCAGTGGTGTTACTTCACAACTTCTTGGTGTCGACGCGTTTGGTCTTCTTGGCCAGAGCGATGGCATCCAGGTGCAGGTTACGGTTGAGGATGACAGAACCACAGGTGAGAGCCCCAGCCAGCGCTCCAGCAAAGCCACACACAAACACGTCCTGACCTGCACACAGAACATCAACACGCGGTAGAAACCAGAGCCAATATAGACCTTTAGTAATATTGATGTCAAACTTATGACTTATCCAAGTGCTAAGACATTTGTTAGTCTATCAAAAACATAGACATATAGCTTCTCTATAACATATCCTTGGACCTGATCAGCTGTATAAGATACTGACCTGTGAGGTAGAGGTTCTTCAGGGGTGTCTGGGGCCTCACGGTGGCATTGCACTCAGCGCTGAAACGAGAAGTGCCATGGTCTGCTCCATAGATCTCCCCTTTAGGGGCTCCAATGTAGTGTGTGTTTGTTATGGGTGTTCCAGCATCGATGAACTCAACCTAAAAGACAGACAGAGAGAAAAATGGGAGATGTATGCATTGTGAACAGGGTATCAATTACTTTCCATTGAGGTTTCAAGTTACACCATTTGTCAAAATTGAAAGGAACCTTGTCTATGTTACTAGTGCATCCACCATCAAGATGTTAGTTTCCTGCAAAAAGCAGTCTACCAGAGTTTAGTATGAATGGGCTAAACGCTCTACCTTGTCCTTGGTAATCTTGGGGAAGACACTCATCACCACCTCCAGAATCGAGTCACAGAATATCTGCTTCAGCTCCTTGTAATCAGTCCCTCTGTTGGTCACCTTGTCATCCTTCCACTCCTCAAACCACTCATAGTTAGCAAAGCTCACCAGACTCAGGGTGGACTTGCCTGTGAAGAATGGGTTGAAACATGTCTGTTCAGCCTTCATTCTGATGGCATCAGATAATGTAGTTATGTGTGCATTTCCAACAATCTAAATTACAAAATGTTTTGGTATGTTGTACATCAGAGACCAGCAGGCTGGGTTCAGGAACACATTGCAACACTAATGCATCAACACTGGACAGTCAATAGAATGGAACAAATCAACTTAACAGACTTTGAAAAGGCATTTGATAGCATGGACAGAGCAACCATCTGGTACCTAATAGAAAACTACAGAATCCTGTTGTATGTTGTCTTTAGTATTTTGTCCTAACTGTTGTCTCGTCTGCGTTACCATGAAGTAAATCAAAAATATCACAATAAAAGAACAAAAGACAGTGTAATGATGTCATGTCATAGTATTGTGAGGACAGAGATAGGGTTACGAGATAATTGGTTTGGGGCCATGAAGTCTACATTCCTTATGTCAAAGTAGATGAGTGATGTTTAGGATAGCATGAGTGATGGACAGGATACTGACTTGGGGTAAGGGTGATGAACATCAAAGACAGGGAGTGCCCATGGAGACTTACCAGATGTAGGCCAAAAAGAGGGTAACAGAAGGTATACAAGGTAGTGTCTCTTTTGTTCAAGTTAGCGCGTAACAACAAGGGCAAAGCTCTGGTCATTGTTGTAACGAACCCGGTACCGATCATTAAACATTTGCATTAACTTTCTACAAAGTGTCTAACTATATTCTTGCATCCTTGAACACCCGAGAAACTCATCATAACAGTCAGTCTCACATCATCAGGAATAAAACTAGGGCCTAACACCCAACACTGCAAACCTCAGGGGAAAAGAAAGAAAGGTCAACCCAGAAACACCTGGAGGAGATGTCCAGGCCGATATGGCGAGAGCAGACTCAACTGGTACAACCTGGAAAAACTTGCCCCGAACCGAGTAAGATATAGGACATTAGTCAATGGATTAGGCTCCTTATAGGAGCCAAGGGTTTAAATAAGTTAAGTAAGTCATTGGATTATGCATTTCCAAGGATCAAAATAATTAAATAATTTAGTATGGTGAATATCAGTGCCAACACTAGTTTTGTTTCTGTACCTGGTGATCGTTCCTCCCAGGTGGGGTCTTTGGCTGATGGAGAGGCCACAAAGAAGAGTGGCACACTTTTTGCTGACTCCTCCCTGTTTCCCTTCAAATAGGTGTCAACCCTGTAACATCCAAATAATGGGTTTAGTAAGATACTGTAGGCTCTTTAACAATACAGTAAAGAACACTTCACCCTTCTCAAATTCTGGCAATGATGTAAAACATATAGACCGTGCTTGTTAAACAGTGTGAATATCTATTGAGGTTCCAAACATGTTGTGAAATAAGTGTAGTGAGTGTGAACTGATACTGTCTGTTTGACAACACTGCATTTTAGTTTTTACCAAACAGATTACTGTAATACCACAATCTTTGATGCACAAAGTAAAAGGTAGTGAAATACAGAATCACTATCACAGACTCATGTACCATAGGTTATGTAATGTCACAGTAATACAGGTCTCTCTCAAAATCCACTGAGTATACAAACATTAAGAACACCTGCTCTTTCCATGACATACTGTAGACTGACCAGGTGAAAGCTACGATCCCTTATTGAGGTAACTTGTTAAATCCACTTCAATCAGTGTAGATGAAGGAGAGGAGACAGGTTAAAGAAGGATTTTAAGTTGAGACAACTGAGACATGGATTCTATACCATCCAAAGGACATCCAACCAACTTGACAACATAACTTAAGGAAGCATTGGAGTAAACATGGGCCAGCATCCCTGTGGAACACTTTCGACACCTTGTAGAGTCCATGCCCCGACGAATTAAGACTGTTCTGAGGGCAAAAGAGGGGGGTGCAAATCAATATTAGGAAGGTGTTCCTAATGTTTGGTATACTCAGTGTATGTTAATAAGGACAAATTCTAAGGTGTTGAATTAAAGTAAATCATTAGACAGTGGGGCCTATGGGGGCACGCCAAACATTTAGTGTTAAACAAAGAGAGAGGAAGGACCTACAGTTCATCCATGTTGTGCTCTGTGAAGATCCAGTAGTTGTCTGCTTTGAGGCCCAGCTCCTCCTTGGTTCCAGTCAGGCCCAGGAAGATGCTCAGACCTCCCGCCCCGTTTTTCATCATACCAAGCTGCTTCTGGATGGCTGCAGGGCATCTCAAGATCATACAACATTCATGACTAGTAGCGATGTGCATCTTTCCCTTTCAACACGATTCGTATCTACACTGAACAAAAATATAAATGCAACATGTAAAGTGTTGGTCCCATGTTCCATGAGCTTTAATAAAATATCCCAGAAATGTTCCATATGCACAGAAAGCTTATTGTTCTCAAATTGTGTACAAATTTGTTTACATCCCCGTTTGTGAGAATTTCTCATTTGCCAAGATAATCCATCTACCTGACAGGTGTGGAATATCAAGAAGCTGATTAAACAGCATGATCATTACACAGGTGCAACTTGTGATGGGGAAAATAAAAGGCCACTCTAAAATGTGCAGTTTTTTCACACAGCACAATGCCACCGATGTCGCACGGTTTGAGGGAGTGTGCAATTGGCATGCTGACTGCAGGGATGTCCACCAGAGCGGTTGGCAGAGAATGTAATGTTCATTTCGCCACCATAAGCCTCCTCCAATGTCATTTTAGAGAATTTGGCAGTGCGTCCAACCGGCCTCACAACCACAGACCACATGTAACCACACCAGCCCAGGACCTCCACATCTGGTTTCCTCACCTGCGGGATCGTCTGAGACCAGCCACCTGGACAGCTGATTAAACTGTGGGTTTGCACAACTGAAGAATTTCTGCACAAACTGTCAGAAAACGTCTGAGGGAAGCTCATGCTCGTTGTTCTCACCAGGGTCTTGACCTGACTGCAGTTCGGAGTCGTCACCGACTTCAGTGGGCAAATGATAGCCTTCAATGGCCACTGGCACGCTGGAGAAGTGTGCACTTCACGGATGAATCCCGGTTTCAACTGTACCGGGCAGATGGTGTCGTGTGGGCGAGCGGTTTGCGGATGTCAACGTTATGAACAGAGTGCCCCATGGGGGTGGTAGGCTTATGGTATGGGCAGGCATAAGCTACAGAGAAAGAACACAATTGCATTTTATTGATTGCAATGTTAATGCACAGAGATACCGTGACGAGTTCCTGAGGCCCATTGTCCTGCCATTCATCCACCACCATCACCTCATGTTTCAGCATGATAATGCACGGCCCCATGTCGCAAGGATCTGTACACAATTCCTTGAAACTGAAAATGTCACAGTTCTTCCATGGCCTGCATACTCACCAGACATGTCACCCATTGAGCATGTGTGGGATGCTCTGGATGGACGTGTACGACAGCGTGTTCAGTTCCCGACAATATCAAGCAACTTCGCACAGCCATTGAGTGGGACAACATTTCACAGATACTGTGGTTTTCTGATCCACGCCCCTACCTTTTTTTAAAGGTATCTGTGACTAACAGATGCATATCTGTATTCCCAGTCATATGACATCCATAGATTAGGGCCTAAGGAATTTATTTCAATTGAATGATTTCCTTATATGAACTGTAACTCAGTAAATATTTTGAAAATGTTGCATGCTGCTTTTATATTTTTGTTCAGTGTAGATACATGGGCTCCGATACGATAAGTTTTAGTTGGAAACGATCCGGTGCGATTCGGTTTGATTAGAGGAACGAATCGATGTGGTTCGATGCACTAACATTTGTTGCATAAACACGTTCATCTTAAATTTAAATCTGCAACTGATGGAGTTGTGTGTGTGTGTAAATGATGCCATAAGGGAAACTTGGCATCTACCACCCCACTATCAGTTAGGGGAGGGCAATGTTTCTCAAGCAAACTACCCAAATTATTGCTGATGATGAACCTGAACAATCAAATTAAATCTAATGCAAGCCCGGATTAGCATGTAGCCTACCTATAGTCAGAGGAGAGTTGTGTCTCTGGCGGTAGCTTAAGCTACTTTTATTCCGGTAAAACCCAATTTTCAACAGTGCATAGAAAATAACCATGAATATTACATTGGTTGTCACAACTAATAAAGCCTAATATTGCGCAAGCCATTTTACAAACATTTGAAAGCTGAAAGTGATGCAGAGATGTGCCAGATCAGGAATAGGCCTACCTCTCAATGGTCAACGCGCAAAGCATGCAGTTTAACTAGGCTACTGATATTGCCTGGGTTTGTTAGGCATCCAAAATGACTTGAAGCTCAATGACTGTCAACATAACTCCATGCTTAGTTCGACACTGAAGGAGAGGAAGCAGGTGTCACAAGAGGTATTTTCGGAAGGCAGAAAGAAAGTAATTTGAGCAACAAAAAGTATTGTGAACAGGCGATTCGTAACATTTGAACCAGGGACCGATGCGTATCACTGAATCGTTACATCCCTAATGATTAGGCATCACAAGATCATAGAAACATGATTAGGAAACAACATTTAGACAAACGCCATCGATACAAGTGTTAACTAACAATTCAGTATTTTTAACGCGGCCATCTTGAACATACTTTAACACACCTTAATACCCTCACCCACCTGGCATGGCCTGGAGTTCCTTGGGCAGCAGGTGCTGGTAGGTGTTGAAGATGCCAGCGTCGGAGATAACCATTGGAGCATGCACATGGACCTCCTCCTGACCTTTCATCACGCTCACACCTGAAACCATGGGAACCAGAGGTGGTCAAAACCATCTGTGTGATCAATCAATTCACCCGTCAACCAATAAATCAATCAGTCCTATTCACCAATAGCCTCCTTGTTGTCGTTGAACAGGATGCGGTTGACTGGGGCGCGGACAAGCACGGCCCCCCCGGCTTTCTCAACGATGGGGATCATGTGGTAGGCGATCTCACTGGCTCCTCCTATTGGGTACCAGGCGCCGGTCAGGTAGTGGCAGACCAGCAGGCTGTGCATGGAGAAGCTGGCATCTTTGGGCATGTTACCTGCAGTTACACACAACAAAATGGAATCTTATAAAACCAAACATACTACAAAAAGAGATGGAATTAATTTGGTCCATGTGGAGAGATTGTGTGTGTGTGTCCCCCAAATGGCACAAATTAGTGAACTACATAGGGAATAGGGTGCCCTTTTGGACGCAGCCTATCATTTGAGATGGCTGTGGTTATGCTCTCCACTGTCAGGAACTACAGCAGCCTACCGTAAGTGCCAAAGCTGTAGCTGAAGACGGCCCTGAGGTCATTGTTCTCAGTCAGCTCGTTGACCACCTCGGTCACACTGCGAGACGCCATGCGGAAGAAGAATGACAGACGATTGGCCAGGCCTGTGTACACCAGGAACTTGGCCAGGGGGACAGGAACGAGCTTCAGCAGACACATGAACCAAACGTTGTGTCCTGCTTTCTGTAGATGGAATGCATACATATACACTGAGTATACCAAACATTAGGAACACCCTCCTAATATTGAGTTGCACCCCCTTTTGCCCTCAGAACAGCCTCAATTCGTCGGAGCATGGACTCCACAAGGTGTCGAAAGGGTTCCACAGGGATGTGGCCCATGTTGACTCCAATGCTTCCCACAGTTGTGTCAAGTTGGCTGGATGTCCTTTGGGGGGTGGCCCATTCTTGATACACACGGGAAACTGTTGAGCTTGAAATAAACAGCAGCGCTGCAGTTCTTGACATGCAAACCACTGCGCCTGGCACGTACAGTACTACCATCACCCGTTCAAAGGCACTTAAATATTTTGTCTTGCTCATTCACCCTCTACAATGGCACACATACACAATCCATGTCTCAATTGTCTCAAAAAAATACAAATAAACTTTCTCCACCCCTTCATCTACACTGATTGAAGTGGATTTAACAGGTTACATCAATAAGGGATCACAGCTTTCACCTGGATTTACCTGGTCAGACTATATAATGGAAAGAGCAGGCGTTCCTAATGTTTTGTACACTCAGTGCAGACAGACAGAAGGCATGATGCCAGACAGACAGATAGAAGGCATGATGCCAGACAGACAGATAGAAGGCATGATGCCAGACAGACAGATAGAAGGCATGATGCCAGACAGACAGATAGAAGGCATGATGACTGACAGACAGATAGAAGGCATGATGACAGACAGACAGATAGAAGGCATGATGACTGACAGACAAAAATAAAAAGCACTTAGCGGTTTGTGGTGTTTAAAAAAAAAAAAGTATTCTGAAGAGTAAAGTAAAAAATTATTTAAAAAACTATAAGAAGATCTACAGACTAATCGTTGATTCAGTTCTAAAATCTAAAAGTATAAAAGTATTTAGGGAGCCTCATGAGGTTGTTGTTGCGATAAAGTGCACGCCATGGTCAGCTTGCCTTGACAGCATTGTCGGACTTTATCAGCAACAAACGTTCACTCCAGATGAACTGTACCAAGTAGACAGATACACACATGGTGCTCTGATGCAATGTTGTCTGGGTAGCACGATGTAAAACCTCTAATCATCAAAGTTAGAAAAACAGTATTGACTCCATCTCTACGCTCTTTGGCGCTACAACCCTTGCCCTCAACACAGATAACACAACCATTACAGACCAGTCCCCAGATGGTAGCTCCTCTTTGCCAAAGTGCAATCTCACAATTCCCTGCACTTGGCAAAGAGCCCAACCTATCCCTGAAATAAGTAGGGAAAAGGTTCTGAGCTCAGATAACAGCACGAGGCAGTCAGCATAAACCACCAATTCCAATAACAGCACTAACATTAGCACCAGCAGCAGCATAGTAGTCGATTCATATTGCAAAGCTCATAACTTAGTTTACCTTAAACAACAAATACCAAACAATCACCATGACTGCTCCATTCAAACACATGTCAACTGATGTCTACGGTATGAGGTTAAAAATGTATAATGTATGCACTCACTAACTGTAAGTCGCTCTGGATAAGAGCATCTGCTAAATGACTCAAATTTAAAATGTTACTGATGACATCACCATACCTTGACCAGCCTCATGTACTCATCGATGGCCGCCTCCTCCCCAGGGAAGAACTTCTTCAGCTCGTCAGGGAAGCGGTTCCTGCCGCTGTAGATGGGGTAGGTGCGCCTGTTCTCAGGAGGGCCCAACACCACATGGTCAAACGGGTTGTCCAGGGGCTCCCACTGGAGCTGCCCATTGGTCAGCTGGTCAAGCATGCAGCGGAAGGGCTTGTTCTCCAACAGGTCCCCGATGTAGTGGATACCTGAGGTGGAGGCATGACTGATTTATTAATTGTATTATTAGAGTGTCTTGTATCTTTAGGATGTCCAGCTCACATCACATGGCCGAATAAGACACAGTATTATTGATTAATAGTTTGCATTTACAGCAGGGGTGTCAAACTCACTCCACGGAGGGCCTAGTGTCTGCAGGTTTTTGTATTTTCCTTTCAATTAAGACCTAGAAAACCAGGTGAGGAGAGTTCATTACTTATTAGTGACCTTAATGAATCAATCAAGTACAAGGGTGGAGCGAAAACTCGGCCCTCCGTGGAATGAGTATGACACGTGTGATTTACAGAGTTTTACACTTACATAAACTCACAATTTTTTTCCCTTCAGAGACAAAGCCAGGCTAGGGCCAGCCCAGGACATGCTGTCAGTTTAGGCCAAGGATGGGCAACTGGCAGCCAGGCCCGCGGATCAATTCCCCCCAAAAAAATATTTTGTATTTGAGAATCTTCATAGTAGCCACCCTTTTACCTTGATGACAGCTTTGCACACTCTTGGCATTCTCTCAACCAGCTTCATGAGGTAGTCACCTGGAATGTGTTTCAATTAACAGGTGTGCCTTGTTAAAAGTGAATTTGTGGAATTCCTTTCCTTCTTAATGTGTTTGAGCCAATCAGTTGTGTTGTGACAAGGTAGGGGGGGAATACAAAAGATAGCCCTATTTGGTAAAAGACAAGTCCATATTATGGCAAGAACAGCTCAAATAAGCAAAGAGAAACGACAGTCCATCATTACTTTTAAGACATAAGGTCAGTCAATCCGGAAAATGTCAAGAAGTGCAGTCGCAAAAACCATCAAGCGCTATGATGAAACTGGCTCTCATGAGGACCGCCACAGGAAAGAAAGACCAGAGTTACCTCTGCTGCAGAGGATAAGCTGATTAGAGTTACTAGCCTCAGAAATTGCAACTCAAATAAATGCTTCACAGAGTTCAAGTCACAGACACATCTTAACATCAACTGTTCAGAGGGGACTGTGTGAATCAGGCCTTCATGGTCGAATTGCTGCAAAGAAACCACTACTGCTTGGGCCAAGAAACATGAGCAAAAACATTTTTTTTTAAATATAAGCTAAACAATTTTGTAAAACAAAAAATACAAAAATAAACACGAGCAATGGACATTAGACTGGTGGAAATGTGTCCTAGCGCCGTGTCTTTGTGAGACGCAGTGTGGGTGAACGGATGATATCCGCATGTGTATTTAACACTGTGAAGCATGGAGGAGGTGGTGTTATGGTGCTTTGCTGGTGACACTGTCTGATTTATTTAAAATTCAAGGCACACTTAACCAGCATGGCTACCACTGCATTCTGCAGCGATATGCCATCCCATTTGGTTTGGGCTTAGTGGGACGATAATTTGTTTTTCAACAGGACAATGACCCAACACACCTCCAGGCTGTGTAAGGACTATTTTACCAAGAAGGAGAGTGATGGAGTGCTGCATCAGATGACCTAGCCTCCACAATCCCCCGACCTCAACCCAATTGAGATGGTTTGGGATGAGTCGGACGGCAGAGTGAAGGAAAAGCAGCCAAGAAGTGCTCAGCATATGTGGGAACTCCTTCAAGACTATTGGAAAAGCATTCCAGGTGAAGCTGGTTGAGAGAATGCCAAGATTGTCCAAAGCTGTCATAAAGGCAAAGGGTGACTATTTGAAGAATCTCATATATAAAATATATTTTGATTTGTATAACACTTTTTTGGTTACTACATGATTCCATATGTGTTATTTCATAGTGTTGATGTCTTCACTATTATTCTACAATGTAGAAAATACTACAAATTAAGAAAAACCCTTGAATGAGTAGGTGCGTCCAAACTTTTGACTGGTACTGTAGGTATGCAGAACTGCAAGCCACCATGCAGAACCCAATCACCATCAAAGTTGCCCATCCCTGGTTTATGCCAACAACAGAAATAGACTATGTTCATCTCCACTACCACTTCTGAGTAAAGGAAGGTACCTACCACGTTGAGTAAGGAAAGGTAAACTGATAGCTGCCTTCTAGATAAGGAAAGGTAAACTGATAAGAGCCTTCTCACCCACGTCAAACTCAAAGCCTTTCTCTGTAAAGGTGTGGCAGCAGCCTCCGGCCCGATCATGCTGCTCCAGAACCAGGACCCGCTTCCCAACCTTAGCCAACAGCACTGCCACCCCAAGACCACCAATTCCACTGCCAATGACAATGGCATCTAGTTTCTCAGGTATTTTACTGGCCAAGAAACCTGGTGGGGAAGAGTAATAAAAATATACAATTAACACTGAGATATTGCCAGTTATAGCTTCTTACAGGAAACAAATAACGCGGTGTTCCATCAATATAATCCCCTGGCCTGTGCAAAGAGACCCTATAACCACGTTTCCGTCTAACCATTTCATGCGGATGAATTACCTGACCCATGAAAAAAGTATTGACCGCATTTTAATGGAAACATTAAAATGCCGGTACAATTTTATAGGCCTAAATGCCGACAGAATTTGTTCGTTCGACATGGTGGGATATTTTTGTGTCGGTAAAATTAATTACGCGATTAATTAATTTTGTGCGCTGCGTAATCACGCACAGCCTTTATTCCGCAAAAAGTCGGTTTGATGGAAACACGTCTGGTGGAAAATGCGCATTTATTTTATGAATATTCGCATGAAAATCTGTCGCAAATTGGATTAAAACCTGGCTAATGGTACTGAAACAAATGTGTGTGTAGCAACTATTAACATGATATAATACGGGGTGGATTGCAGTTCAACAATGGGCTCAGTCATGACTGCAGTATAGGAGCCTTATCCAGCTTGTAACGCAGTACTGCATTTGACAATCAGTGAATTTGTAAATATTGTAAATCGGTATGTCAGCGGTTCTAACAGACGAAATAGTTCCCTGACCTGCTCTCCTCCTTCAAATGAATGCTCTTGCGATAAATGTGAACGACAGAGCAATTTCATTACGCAACATGCAGAGGTGGGTAGAGTAGCCAAAAAATTTACTCAAGTAAAAGTACTGTTACTTCAGAATAATATGACTCAAGTAAAAGTAAAAAGTAGTCATCCAAATAATTACTTGAGTAAGAGTAAAAAAAAGTACTTGGTGAAAAAACTACTCAAGTACCGAGTAACTGTTGAGTAACGTCTGATTTATGTTTTAACACAAGACAACAATTAGACAGACAAAAATACAAAATAATCATCTTTAGGCAAATTATAGTTCATCCAATCAATAAAATTAATTACAATTAATTACAAAATAGCTTAAATTAAAATAATTCAGGTAAATTCAAGTACTTAAAAATGTAAATAAATAAAATAATAATAAATACAAAATAAATAAGCACAAGTAACACAAATTTCAAAACCTTTATACTTTTTTTTACCAGGCAGAACTAGAACGAGGCAGCCCATAAACTCATAAACTGTGTAATGACCTCATTGTAGCCTAATGTAGCGGAGTAAGAGTACAGTTTCTTCTTCACAAATCTACTCAAGTAAAAGTAAAAAGTATAGTGATTTAAAACTACTCCTAGAAGTATAATTTTTTCAAAAACTTACTCAAGTAAATGTAACGGAGTAAATGTAACTCGTTACTACCCACCTCTGGCAACATGATATAGCTTTCGAAACACACACAGGACAAGGGTGCCAAAAAATAATTACAAAATGTAAATCTGTTTGGGCACATATTCCTAGGAAACTATATTTCGTGCATGCATTGGTGATCTGTCAAGCCTTGTGTCCAAGAGACTCACCCTGCTTCAGAACTTTGTTTTTCTCCTTCTTTTGGGTGACCAATGGTTTAAGCGGCTCACGAGTGTCAATATCAAAAGGATTTGGTCCGGATGTACGGAACACATATTTGTATAGGAATACAGCTAGAACCGGACAAACGATTGCTACAATGAGCCACATTTTAAGAATGTTTATCAGCGCACCTTCTCACTTTTGCAAGTGGATACACACTTCCGCGTGCGAAGGTCAGCAGTGGTTCAGTGCCACTTGGAACCCTCCCATGCATGACATGTAGCACATTTGTTCAATTAAAGTATTTGTTGTCGTATGTCCGTCGTTTTCAGCCAAAGAACATCGGTATTACTGAGTAGTGTAAAAACAACGCCCACAGTTGATACAAAACTCAGTGCTCATTCGCCCAGATTTTATGACGGGATTCTATTAAGATGGCCGGGGCGCCCGGGAGGTGTAGTTTCCACCGGGTGAAAAGTGATTGCGTTCCATTTGGAAGGGGGCTGCCTCCCGGCCATGAGCCGGCTGCACGTAAAGCTCAGCTTTAGTCGAATTAACGTCAGAATTGACTTTTCGCAGCAGGTTTGGAGAATTCACGTATTAGGTTATGTAGCTCCTCCAGTGACAGGCATGAGGCAAGAGGTCTTGATTTGAATACAGGGCTTTAATGCTGGTCAACCCATGAGAACTCATTGCTGCTTATCACACAGAGGTGCTAAACATCCTTTTAAATGTCCTTGATCTTCTTCTGTATACTTTCTTTGTAAGTATGCACTTAAACACGATAACAGTGGAAAAATAATTCGCTTTTTGCGGTAAAGTTTCCTCGGTGCGTCGCTAAAGGCGCTCGGGTGACAACACTCGGGCGGAACCAATAATTAATTCCGTCTTGCTGTAAACGTACAATTCAGAATAAATTAAATAATAAAAGGTGCAAATACATGAAATAAACTGGCGACAGAGGCAGTTACACTCCCACCAAATCACAAGTGATTTCTTAAAACTTGGAGACAAACCTACTGCATTAATAAATTAAAACAACTAATAAACTGTGTGTGAGTGTATGATAGAACCATCAGTCTGCTTCTAGCAATGTAACTGTTTTCTGAATGGGTCTCTCCAGGTAAACAGGTTTGGCTGTACGCTTTCCTCTTCCATCCAGGGAGGAGTCACTGATGAGTAACTTGAGTCTCCTCACTCTTTCATCACTTCCAGGATACACCTCGATGACTCTTGCTAGCTTCCATTGGTTTCGTGGTGTGGCAGCATCTTGTAACAGAACAATGTCACCGACCTTTGCATTTCTGCGATCTTTGGTCCACTTCTGTCTGTGTTGGAGATTCAGGAGATACTCCTTTTTCCATCGTACCCAAAAGTTGTTGGTTAAGAGTTGAACTCTGCGCCATCTTTTGCGGAGGTAGAGATCCTCCTTGACAAACTTTCCAGGAGGAGGGAGAATGATTGTGGATTTCATGGTCAAGATGTGGTTTGGTGTCAAGGGCTCTGGACTGGTAGAATCGTTCAGATGATCAGTGGTTAGAGGTCTGCTATTCACAACCGCCATAACCTCATATAGAAATGTTCGTAGGGAAGAGGAGTCAAGTTGTCTGGACGACTGTTCTAGAATGGACGCCAGGACACTTCTGATAGTGCGGATTTGTCTTTCCCAGACTCCACCCATATGACTTGAGGCAGGGGTGTTCATGATGAACTCGCAGCCCAAATCTTTGAGCTCTTCTTGATCCATCTCTTTCAGTGCTTCAATGAACTCACGCCTTGCTCCGAACAAGTTTGTCCCTTGATCACACCTTATCTGCCTTACTGATCCACGAATGGCGATGAATGAACGCAGAGCATTGATAAAGGCATCTGAGGTCAAGTCATCAAGTGCTTCAATGTGAACTCCTCTTGAACACATGCAGGTGAGCAACAGCCCATAACGCTTTAGCTCCTTTCTTCCTTCCTTAATGTGAAATGGTCCGAAGCAGTCCATTCCACAGTAAGTGAATGGAGCAGTTGTTTCCATCCGCTCTTCTGGAAGGTCTGCCATCCTTTGTTGCTCTGTGCATCTTCGGAACCTTCTGCAACTTGTGCACTTGTGAATATGGGATGAAACAAGCTTGCTGCAACCCAGGATCCATATGCCATTGGATCGGAGTTAATTTATAGTCATTCCTCGACCTTGATGGTACACTCTCTCATGATAGTGCTTGACGAGCAATGCAGAAACATGACTGTCTCTAGGAAGTACTGCTGGATGCCTCACATGTGGATGTAGGGCAGCATTAGCTAAGCGGCCTCCTACTCTGATTACACCTTGATCATCCAGGAACGGACATAGTTTGTGCAACTGGTTGGCTTTGTCTTTGACCTTTGTCTCCTTATGATGTCTAAGGCGTTGAATTTCTTGAGAGAGAGTTGCTTCCTGGACCATCTTGATTATGGTCAGCTCCGCCTCTTTCCTTTCCTCCAAGTTCGAGGCCTCACAGGACTTTGGCTTGAGACCTTTGATTTCCTTAGCACGGCGCTTGAGTCTGGCAACAGCCTTCACCATTCTTGCCCAGTCTGAGAACTTGTGTAGACAATCTAAAATTGTTTTTGCTTCTTCTGCCTGAGTGTCATGAACCTGAGCTTTCTTGACCTCTGGGTCACTGCTCTCGATCTCTCCCACCATGACAACTCCAGTTGGTAGCTCTTTTTGCCAAAGAAGGTCTGGACCTGTGAACCAGTTAGAAGCTGTGAGTTGTTCTGCTGTGACACCCCTTGAGGCGTGGTCAGCTGGGTTGTCTTCTGAAGCTACTGTCTCATCCATAAAGGTCTTATAGTCTCTGTAGTACTGCTCATTTCCCTTTAACTTCTTCTCCAGACATCTGAGACGGTGGATGCCACATACCTTGTTATCTGGTAAGTTTGGTCTTCCTTTCTTGAAGGGAAGTGGCATTTCATAGTGCCCATCATCCTTGAGTCTGATGCCACTCTCCATAATTGACATGAACTGGAGATCCTCTTGGGAAAGGTGTTCATCTTCTGAAGCCCTTTCTACAAAATCAGATTCCAACACCTTGATGACGTCTGTTGGAAGGACTACTTCTTTGATCTGTGTTCTACAGACATAGTGCACTTCGTTTGGGAGATTTGGAAGAACTGATGTCACTTGCTTCACAATGACTTGATGGCTTATTCCAAAGGCATCTCCAAAGTCAAGACATGGGTTGCCATAGCCGACTACACTCCAACCCAAGTCTGTTCTCTGAGCAAAGGGCTCATTTTCTTCTCCAGCAACCACTTGTCTTGGTGCAAGAGCTTGAGGACAGTTGTAGCCAATTAGTAGGCCGATGTCACAGCTCTGCAGAGGAGCAATTTCATCTGCAATGTGCTCAAGATGAGACCATGCCTTGGCAGTCTCTGGTGTGGGAATATGATCTCTGTTTGCAGGGATGAATTCTCTTGAGTAAGTTACTGGCAGGTAGATTATCTTATCGGAGTAGAATCCTCTTATTTGTAGATCAGTCAGCCTTCTGCTAGGCACCACTGTATTTCTTGAAGCCATTGTGGAGAGCTTTAACTGGACTGGTTCATTTTTAGTGTGAAGCACCTTTGCTGTCTCTTCAAGGATGAAGGTCGTGTCACTCTGTGTATCGAGAAGAGCGTACACAAGAACTTCATGATTTGGCTTACTTGTAGTGGACAACCACACAAGAATGACTGAGGATGTATGGGTGCCTTTAACATTCTGGATAACTCTGTTAGATGTTACCTCGCGTGGTGGTTTTGTCACCCTCTCTTGTGAACGATCTGTCGTTCCTTCTCTTGACTTGTCACTCTCCATTTCTCCATCAGTCCTTGTTGACATTCCTCTTTCTTTGCTGCGATTATCGTGTAGGCAGGTTGGATGTCCTTTCTCACAAGTATCACAGATCCTTCTATTTTCACACTCCTTTGAGCGATGGCCAGGCTTCAGACAGCCAAAGCACAACTTCATCCCTTGAACAAACTTGACTCGCTCAGAGATGGTTTTATTCATAAATTTCCAACACTTGTGTAGACTGTGACCTGACTTCTCACAAAAAACACAGCTTGTGGAGGAAACTTTTTCATCTGAGTTAGTTGCTAGTACCTTTGCTCCGAGAGCTCTGTTCTTTAAAACCTTGATCTGCTCACCTTCAGCAGGTTTCAGAGCATGGAGAGATGTTATTGGGTTATTTGCAATCTTAGCTTCACGTGTGAGAAACTTTACAAACTGCTGGAAGCTTGGGAATGTGTGACTTTCTTCCTCCACTTCTATGACCTTTCTGTTCCATCTCGAGGTCAGCCAGTCTGGAAGCTTTGCAAGTAACTTCTGGTTCTCATTGCAGTCATTAAGTACTTCGAGGCCTCTGATCTGAGTCATAGCAGCCTCACAGCTCCGAAGAAAATCAGCAAACTCTTGAAGTTCGATACTGCCTTTGGAGCTTATCTTGGGCCATGCCTCCAGCTTATCTCTGAATGCTTTGGCTATGAGGAATGGATTTCCATATCTTTCCTCGAGAATCCTCCATGCTGCGTGATAGGCTGACTCTGAACCAAGCAGGAAGTAGCTCTCTATAGCCTTTTTAGCAGGTCCACCCACATACTTTCGCAAGTAATATATATTTTCTTCGGCTGGAATGTTTTTCCGATCAATGAGTGTCTGAAATGAAACCTTCCAGTCATTGAATCTGAGTGGGTCGCCATTGAATATTGTTGGTTCAGGTATAGGAAGACGACCTGCACTGATGGACTCTGCAAGTGCTCTAACAAGAGCTGCTGTGCTGTCATCCTGCTTTGAATGTGCCCGGTCTTGTGGTGAAGAATGGTGCTGCAACAGATTATTTTGATGTTTAACTTCTTCCTTTTCCTTCATACAGACACTTTGATGGAGTAGACTGCTTATTTCTTTATCTGAGCACTCACTCTGATCATACACTCGCTGACGTGCCTTAGCAGCCTTTAACTTTTTAACTGTCTCTAGTCGCTCCAGTTGTCTCCGCTTTGCATCTAGCACCTTTTGTCTCTCTGCAGCTTCAGCTTCAAGCCTTTCCAATTCCTCAATGCAACGCTCTTGTTCTAGTAGTACTTCTAGAGTAGCTTCATTGGCAGCAACTTCAGCAGCGGCATCTTGTCTGCTAACAGAAATCCGACTTGAATGTCTGGAGCTGCTTTGAGCATGAGAGGACTTAGTGCATTGGGATTTGATACTTATCTTGTCTGAGGCTACAGACTTGAATATAGACGATGTCGCCCTGTTGCCTCGTTGTTCATCTCCTCCACCGTTATCTGCTGTCTCCAAACGATCTTTTGCAGTTTGGATGATCTTCCTGGTTACTGCATCACAGGTGTCAAATCTGCGACGTGTGTCATGGTCAGGGTTGTCTATGCGCCTTAACTCATCATAAGCAATGTTCAGATTCTCTGAGGCAGCACTTTTATTTTGCTTATGTGTTCATGTAGCAGGTTGTTTGAGCATTGTCCACTCAAAGCTTGCTTGGCGTCTTTAGCAATAGCCTTCCACTCCTCATAGCTCACAGTGAAACGGTGAGCAAATCTTCTTATTTGCTCATTGTACAGTTCTTGGCCCTTTTCTGTTAACTTTCGGTCTCTTTGGCTTCTTCGTGGTTCTTGTGAGGAAGTGTGGTCATTAGCTCTTGTGCCTTTAGTAGCCTGTGGTTGTATGTCTATGCACTGCTGCTCTATACTTTCACCTACATTAACCTGCTTTCTCCCAGAGGTAAGACTCTGACATTGTTACTTGGTGTACTTAAATTTGGGTTAAATCTAATTTGGCCTGTAGCTAAGTGATTCAGCTCCCATTAGCTATTCACATTTATACTATTTTTTACCACTAATATTATTTTTTAGAACATATTCACATCTACTTCACACAAATCAATATCACGTTGTTCTATGAAATGCAAAATTCAGTCTCTTGGTTGTAGCTTAGTTAACACTTAAACATACACACAACTATACCGTATGAATATGAAGGCAAAAAATGTGTCAGTCTCTTGTGGGAAATAGTTTAAGCTTCTTTGCATCAGCTGGATTCATGGTAAGGCGCCTGGATTCTTCTGTGGATGCTGCGGCTGTGTAAATGTCAGGAGCAGATGCACACTCTTGGATGTAGAGATGTCCCTTCTTGTCCATGGATCACGGCTCTTTGGTACTGTCTTCCTCGTCTACTCATGCAGAGCAGATGAGTTCTCACTGTAGCTCCTCCAGTGACAGGCATGAGGCAAGAGGTCTTGATTTGAATACAGGGCTTTAATGCTGGTCAACCCATGAGAACTCATTGCTGCTTATCACACAGAGGTGCTAAACATCCTTTTAAATGTCCTTGATCTTCTTCTGTATACTTTCTTTGTAAGTATGCACTTAAACACGATAACGTTGGAAAAATAATTCGCTTTTTGCGGTAAAGTTTCCTCGGTGTGTCGCTAAAGGCGCTCGGGTGACAACACTCGGGCGGAACCAATAATTAATTCCGTCTTGCTGTAAACGTACAATTCAGAAGAAATTAAATCATAAAAGGTGCAAATACATGAAATAAACTGGCGACAGAGGCAGTTACAGGTTATGATGATTAAGTTGAGGTTAGGAAAAGGGTTCACTAAAAATATACTGAACAAAAATATAAATGCAACATTCAACGATTTTACTGCGTTAGAGTATAATATAAGAAAATTAGTCAATTGAAATAAATTCAGTAGTCCCTAATATATGGACTTCACATGACTTGACAGGGGTGCAGCCATGGGTGGACCTGGGAGGGCATAGGCCCACCTACTTGGGAACCAGGCCCATCCAATCAGGAATTAGTTTTTTTCCCATAAAAGTGCTTTATTACAGACAGAAATACTACTCAGATTCATCAGCTGTCCAGGTGGCTGGTCTCAGACGATCCCACAGGTGAAGAAGCCAGATGTTCACTAACAGGGATGTGCAAAACATTTGAGAGAAATAAGCTTTTAGTGCATATGGAAAAATACTGCTATATTTTATTTCAGCTCATGAAACATGGGACCTACACTTTACATGTTGCGTTTATACTTTTGTTCAGTATAAGTCGGCTCTAAACAAAAGTGACGTAGGTTAGCATGTGGAGTAATGAGTAGGATTCTGTTTTCACTTCCAAATGAAAACTAGTTTAACAATTCAAACATATATTTTATGGAAAATAGATGTTTGTTTCTTAACGATGGATCATGCTGTCTTGTTGACAACATAAGGGAGTGGCGCAGATTGTTGTTCGATTTGAGCTGGGCAACCCTCCTCCCTCACCGGCTTCGCCTGGTCAAGTGATGGCCCATAGGCAGGTTCAACCTGGGCCATCTTATTAATAGACCGCTGCCACCGATTATACACAGACTTCACTAAGAACATATCATTTGGTCATGCATTACATAAATGTGGTGACAGGACAGAAAATTATACCATTACGTACTTCACCAGTATTTTACATATTAAAATATTGGACAGTGAAAACATTCCTATTTTTGTTTTGTTTTAAGTAAACCACATAACAATATCATGAGCAAGTTAAATACTAAAGCAATTGTGCAAAAAGGGAAAAGGTATCTCAAAGTACAAAATACGGTATGATTTCCCCACACAGAAAATTCATACAAGATGTTAGTTTTATGAAAGTATTTGCATTGTCAATGAGTAATTCAGTGAATATATATAATGAAGGTATAGCACCATTGTGTTCCATCAGTATTGTTTAGTTCAGTCTGACATACTTTTTATTTTGGGGCAAATCCAGAACATAGTAAAGGATGTGTTCTGTAAAGGATGGCTAGAATAAAATAGCCAAAAAACAAAACAAGGTAAGTCTGTGGGGCGAGTTCAATTCATGTGTAGACCTATGCCATCTGTCAGGAGGGCATGTGGAGCCGTGATAAAAGTTCAAGCACTTTTGACCCCTTGCCACTGGGGGAGTCATGGTTACCTTGTGGGGTCATCTCCAGCCCATACAGGTGCTCTAGGAAGCCATACAGGGAGGCTAGCTGATCTGGGTACCCCAGTTCAAACACACGCAGAAGCTTGAAAAGCTTGTCCAGTGCATTACTCAGGCCCTCCTGAGGCAGGGGGATTGCCATCCTATCAACAGGGAACACGATGCAAAGTTGCCGGCCAGGGGCCTCCAAGGGCCCCACGCTCACTATGTAGGGCTGAGCGTGGGAGACAGACTCTGGGCCCTCCAAGGAGGTAGGGTCACAGAATAAGGAGGACACCTTGGTGTCCATCTGTAGAGGAACAAAGGAGGAAAGGTCTTTCAAGGAGATTTTTCTATTACATTTCTTCAAAAAGAGTCATTGTTACCCTTCCTTCTAAAGTTGCCAACAATTTCCTTCTAAAATTCCCATAGTTCACAAATTGTTAATCTATATGGCAATGAGGAAATGTCTGGGTTTACTGCTCAGTCTGACCAGGAAGTATTTTAAAAAATTACTGTGTTGCTCACCGGTACAATGTCCACCAGATACCGAATGGCCTGCCTGACACTGCTCCTGGAGGGTAAGGAGGCTCTACTGGTGTTTGTTGGTGGTAGTACATAGATCAGGACCTTCAGCATAGTCAGGGTGTAGGAGTCTGCAGAGGAATCAGAGGGGAACAAATATGTGAAACTTGGCATAAAAAAAAAGAAAACGAAACACAGCAATCTACTCTCCAATTACACTACCACTGAGTAAATCATACAGATTTTCAGTCAGTCTGTCAATGGTTGATTAGGAGGTTGACTGTAAAGTGTCTATTGCATGTATACTGAACAGATATAAACACAACATGCAAACAATTTCAAAGATTTTACTGAATTACAGTTCATATAAGGAAATAAGTCAATTGAAATGAACTCATTATGCCCTAATCTATGGATTTCACATGACTGGGCAGGGGTGCAGCCATGGGTGGGCCTGGGAGGGCATAGGCACACCCACTTGGCAGCCAGACCCACCCACTGGGTTGCCAGGCCCAGACAATCAGAATTAGTTTTTCCCCACAAAGGGCTTTATTACAGACAGAAATATTCCTCAGTTACACGTGGGTCTGCGGTTGTGAGGCCGGTTGGACATACTGCCAAATTCTCTAAAACGACGTTGGAGGCAGCTTATGGTAGAGAAATGAACATTCAATTCTCTGGCAACAGCTCTGGTAGACATTCCTGCAGTCAGCTCCCTCAAAACTTGAGACATCTGTGGCATTGTGTTATGTGACAAAACTGCACATTTTTAAAGTGGCCTTTTACTGTCCCCAGCACAAGGTGCACCTGTGTAATGATCATGCTGTTTAATCAGCTTCTTGATATGCCACACCTGTCAGGTGGATGGATTATCTTGGCAAAGGAGAAATGCTCACGAACAGGGATATAAACAAATTTGTGCACAACATTTGAGAGAAATAAGCTGTTTGTGTGTATGGAACATTTCAGGGATTTTTTAAATTTCAGCTCATGAAACATGGGACCAACACTTTATATTTTCATTCAATGTAGTTAACCTCTGACCTCCTTGCTGTGTGGCAGCCAGTTGGAGAAGTGCAGAGATGTCTGGGTGTTTCTCGCACTCTGCGATCTGGTACACCCTTGGCAACACGAACGATGACCACTGGGCCAGGAAGGAGTGGCCTTTACCTGGGAACATCCTTTCAAACTCCAGGTCAATCTGAACAAACAAACACCTTTCAGATCCCAATACACTTAGTCACCAATGGGTCGTTCCACCTCAGAAAATAGGATTTTTACACCCACTGACTCATTATTCTGAAATCATTTTGGTTGTTGGAAACAGATACGATTAGCATTCCTGCAACATTATTTTGTTGAAACATAATTTGATCTCTGAGAAATTAAGCTAATTGATTTCATCCAAATTGGCCATTTTAATTTATAGGATTCATATAATATTCAATAAATATAGTAACTAACATATGATTTGGACCAAACTTTATTCTAACAATGACTTAGACATGAGGAATCCAAAGGAATAGTCAAAAGCCACCCACGGACCCCCCACAACAATCCCACCCCAACAATGAGTATATAGTATCAGTTCTCTGTGTTTGACAAGTACATTTTACACTTTAGTCATTTAGCAGACGCTCTTATCCAGAGCGACTTACAGTTAGTGAGTGCATACATTTTCATACTGGTCCCTCGTGGGAAACAAACCCACAACCCTGGCGTTGCAAGCGCCATGCTCTACCAACTGAGCTACACGGGACTATAAGTAGTATGGAGCTGCGGCTCAGAGTATTGTTTCTTCATCCTATGTAATGTGTTCTCAGTGAATTTGGTGATGTTTCTTCCCCCGTTCAGAGAAATGTGTCATTGAAGTTATGTTTACGTCCCATCCTATGTCCTGATATTACCAGGTTGACCACTAGATGGTGCTGTTCCTGCTATTAGGTTTTTAAAAGGGACAGTTCACCCAAATTACAAAATTACATTGGTTTCCTTAACCTGTAAGCAGTCAATGGACAAGGTATGACAGCAACCCATGCTTTGGTTGTTGGGCACTGCCTCAAATGCTAACTTTATATAATTTGTGGCAAAAATCAAATTCAAGTCAATGGTACCTATATTAGCATTTTCACACTTCATGTTCAAAATCAGCCTAAAGTATTTTAACATGTATTTTGTAACTCAATTATGTTACTTATACAGGTAAGTGCCAAATTAATGGAAACACATTAGTAAATGAGGGATACAAATTATATTGAAAGCAGGTGCTTCCACACAGGTGTGGTTCCTGAGTTAATTAAGCAATTAACATCCCATCATGTTTAGGGTTATGTATAAAAATGCTGGGCAGGCCATTATTTTGGCTACCATGGCCTTGCCCCCATAGGATGACAATGCCTCCATCCATAGGGCACTGAATGGTTTGATGAGCATGAAAACGATGTAAACCATATGCCATGGCTGTCTCAGTCACCAGATCTCAATCCAATTGAACAATTATGGGAGATTCTGGAGCGGCGCCTGAGACAGCGTTTTCCACCACCATTAACAAAACACAAAATTATGGCATTTCTTGTGGAAGAATGTTGTCGCATACCTCCAATAGAGTTCCAGACACTTCTATGCACACAATCTATGCCAAGGTGCATTGAAGCTGTTCTGGCTCATTGTGGTCCAACGCCCTATTAAGACACTTTATGTTAGTATTTCCTGTAGATGATTTGAATATGAAGCGCAAAAATGCTAATATAGGTACCATTGACTTACGTTGGATTTGTGCCACAAATGCTGAAAAGTTAGCATTTGAAACATTTGCCAGGCAAACAAAACTAAATAATGGGTTGCTGTCATACCGTGTCCATAGACTGCTTACAGGGTAAGGAAACCAATGTGTCATTTTTGTAGTTTGGGTGAACTATCCCTTTAACATTGAGGGGGGGTTATCACCTAATAGCAGGAACAGCACCATCTAGTGGCCAGAAGCTGATAATATCAGGATGTAGGATGGGACATAAACCTAACAACTTCAATGACTTATTTCTCTGAACAGGGGGGAGGGGGACACACACCAAATTCACAGAGAACACATTACATAGGATGAAGAAACCATACTCTTGAGCCGCAGTTCCATACTACTCGTCAGACATAGAGAACTGATACTGTATACTCTGTTGGGATGGGATTAGTGTGGGGGGTCTGTGGGTGGCTTTTGACCATTTCTTTGATTCCTCATACAGTATCTTACTCATTGTTAGAAAAAAGTTTTGTTCGAATCGGATGTTAGGTACTAAAATGTAAATATTATATATATCCTATAAATTAAAAGGGACAATTTAGGTGCAATCAATTAGCTTAATTTCTCAGATCAAATTATATTTAATCAAAATAATGTTGCAGGAATGCTAATTTTATCGGTTTCTAACTTCAGAACCAATTTCATAATTTGAGATGGTCGGTGTCATAGCTGGCTGAAATGACATGGAATGACCCTAATACAAGTCTATCTGTGGCCTTTCTAGTCTAGTGAGCATCCGTAGCTTTCACCATGAAGACTGGACTCACCGTGGCGGGTACGTCAAGAAAACATGGGTACTCGGCCAACACAGCCCTCATACTAGGCCGTGTGTTGCTGATCCACCTCCTGCGTGCGTTGAATGTGAGGTCCATAGCACCGTGGATGGCAGGCAGGTTCCTGGTCAGGGGCCTGGTTCTCTTCATCAGCTCCACCCACCTCTGGGTCTCCTCACTGGACTGGCTCTCCAGGAGCCCCGATCTAGGCCCAGGGGGGTCTGCCAGGCCTGGCTCTGGCCGACGCCTCTTCAGCACATACTTCTTCTTGTGGTCTTCAAGGGTGCGTCGAGAGTTTCGTAGGCGCGTCTCAATGTAACCCGTACGGGACAAAGGGTCGTACAAGTGTTCCTACACAGGGAGAGAAAATGATTGTCTATTCAGTAACTGAGAATCATGTGAATCCTACACTACTAATACATTTACTAACTCACTATGCCATTGATGCCAGCAGAGGGTGCACAGAGCCTGAGTCCTGGGAAGAGCTCCACTATGAGCTCTGCCAGCATTGTCTTCTGAGCAGAGGTAGGGTAGCTGCAGAGAAGGACAGGAGATGAAATGTCAGAAACACTCACAAAACATTGAGTCTAAATAGAAGAGCAAAATCTCTGATCTCTCAGTCCCTTCCCTTCTCATCCCAAACACACATACAATCAGCTCCTCACAATCCAAACTCCTCCACGATGAAGGACACAGAGAACTTAATGAGCTTCCTGCGGGACAGCTCACACAGACAGCCTTCCCTCTCGTACTCCCGGATCACCTCAGGACACAGTTTCTCCAGCCACAGGCGCAGGCGACCTACAAAGTCCTGTGGACCAGCCTCCACCTGCTCTAGCCCAAACTCACCAGCCTCCACACCACTCTGAGAATGACAGGTTTAGATAAGATAAGGACTGAGGTTCACATTATATGCCAGTGAACATTTAGTGCCTAATATTGTTTATGAAATTGTGAGGTCGGAGTTCGAGGACTGAGTAGATGTGCTTTACTCACATTGGCATGATGAGGCAGAGGCAGAGGCAGAGCAAGGGCCTCCTCAGCCATGCAGCATCTCTCTATCTCAGGTTGCTCTGTTTTGATGTTGGCTGGGCTGAAGCAGGGGTGCAATGCGTCCTGGGGCTTGGCAGCCATCTCTCCCTCCAGGGGCACAGCCACTGTCCTCTGGTCTCCTTCATGCAGCCTGTGGTCATCTGCAACTGAACATTAGCAGAGAGGAAACAATGAGGAAGAGCATGAGAGGTAGCCTAGCAAGCCACCTGATCTCGCGAGTTTACCATTCATGTAAGCTCGCGATATCAAGCAGCTTGCGAGGCTACATGAAAATACTATCAAGAAATCAAGAGTGGCTATCTCACTAAAGCTTTATTTTCTCTGTAAAACCACATCACAGCCATCTTTCACTACATTGAGTCAGGACTTACAGTGTGTGGTACCATCCCCATCAATAAGGGCCATGTCTTCATTGTGCTCCGTCTTGTACACTCTGTTCATCAGCTCCCACTCCTCTGGGATTCCCATGCCCTGACCCTCCTCAAAGTCCACCATCACTGGCCCAGCCGACACAAGGTCAAACGGGTCAGGCAGTCCAGCACAGTCCTCCACCACCTCCAGGGGATGGGGCTCCACGGTGGTCCTTTGTGATGCTTGGGTGGTCGAGCAAGTGGTCTGACCCATCGGATTCCTAGTGTTGCCGCGCCCACCACCACCACCACTACCCCTTGGTCCTGTGTTACAGAATGCCCCTGAAGACCCAGCCTGCACCCTCCAGTCACCCCCGCTGGGGGCCTCTAACCTCTGCTTCAGTCCCAGGGTGTCCTGGTCCCCCTGGGGCACTGAGGAGAGTCCCTGCTGCTGGTCCCCTTGGAGCCCGGTTAACAGACGCACAGTCTCACACAGCACAGACTCCACTGCTGTACGCACTGCATCCTCAATGGCCCCGCCCAGTCTGTCCCTCAGGAAGCTGATGGACAACTGGACATCCATCTTGGCACAGCTCTACCTGGCTGTCTCTGTGACTTTAGACACCAACCACTGGTTAGGCTCTATGGGATGGTATGTAGCTAGTCTATTAAAAACCCCACCAAAACTGGGTATTGTCAAAGATTTTCTAGTATAAGTTATTGCTTCCTCTCTGATAATTGATATGACCACAACATCTCTAAGCCTCTCTCACTTGGAGCTTCAACAAGAGATACACACTGAGTAATATACATTTTACTAAGAACAATCATATTAGCCACTTACCCTAAAACTACAGCCATCTTGGCAGCTCAAAAAACAATGTCAACATAGCTAGCTAAACTGGATCACTAACTAGTACTACCATATTATGCGGAATACACATTTCAGTTGAATACATTCAGTAGTGCAACTGACTAGGTATCCCCTTTCCCATTGTTGTTCCCATTATTATTGCTAGCAACAAAACAAGCTCGCTATCTAGCTTGCTAATCATTTCCTACAAGCTATCTCAGGAAATGAACAGATTAATTCAACTAGTTAACGTCACCAACATTTCACTGCAAATTATCGAAACAATACTTGAGTCTACGCGGGATTGGGACTTTAACCCAAAGCTACAGTGCGTAAAACATTAATATATACATTTTGACGTGTTCTAGCTAGCTAGCTATCGATTCTAGTTAGCTATCGTCCCCTAAATAAAACGTCATCAGCAAGCGGTAACAAGCGTCATAGAAGAGAACGGTGTGAAGCCAGTCAGTGCACAGAGATTTGACAGTAATTGTTCAGCAGTAATGGTGCCAATGATCGAGCCAAATGAATTGTTCATATTGAAATAGGTGAAGTCATAAATTGCACAGAACATTTGCCTGGACACTGCAGAGAGGAAAAGTCATTAAGATCATTGTTCCCCAGAGACTCGATCCCTTTGCTTTTAATTGATAAATATAAAAAGTTAATACCTCTGACCAGCCCCCTGACAGGGTTGAAAGAGTTGACAACATACACTGAACAAAAATATAAACGCAACATGTAAAGTGTTGGTCCCATGTTTCATGTGCTGAAATAAAAGAACCCACACATTTTCCATATGCACAAAATGCTTATTTCTCTCAAATGTTGTACACACATTTGTTTACATCCCTGTTAGTGAGCATTTCTCATTTCCCAAGATAATCCATCCACCTGACAAGTGTGGCATATCAAGATGCTTATTAAACAGCATGATCATTACACAGGTGCACCTTGTGCTGGGGAAAATAAAAGGTCACTCTAAAATGTGCACACAATGCCACAGATGTCTCAAGTTTTGAGGGAACGTGCAATTGGCATGCTGACTGGAGGAATGTCCACCAGATCTGTTGCCAGAGAATTTAATGTTAATTTCTCTACCGCAAGCTGCCCACAACGTCGTTTTAGAGAACTTGGCAGTACAGCCAACCGGCCTCACAACCACAGACCACATGCATGGCGTTGTGTGGGCGAGCGGTTTTCTGATGTCAACGTTGTGAACAGATTGCCCCATGGTGGTATGGGCAGGCATAAGCTACGGATAACGAACACAATTGCATTTGATCAATGCCAATTTGAATACACAGAGATACCGTGACGAGATCCTGAGACTCATTGTTGTGCCATTAATCCGCCGCCATCACCTCATGTTTCAGCATGATAATGCACGGCCTCATGTACACAATTCCTGGAAGCTGAATATGTCCCAGTTGTTCCATGACCTGCATACTCACCAGACATGTCACCCATTGAGCATGTTTGGGATGCTCTGGACCAATGTGTACGACCGCGTGTTCCAGTTTCCGCCAATATCCAGCAACTTCGCACAGCCATTGAAGAGGAGTGGGACAACATTCCACAGGCCACAATCAACAGCCTGATCAACTCTATGCGAAGGAGATGTGTCGCGCTGCATGAGGCAAATGGTGGTGACACCAGATAATGACCTATTTATTTTTGTTGTTGTTGCATGTTCCGTTTATATTTTTGTTCAGTATATTTAATGCATTCATTCATTGGATGTTACAGTACTTTGTGCCAATCATAGATATAGAATCTCATTCTAGATCTGTGGTGCCAATGTACTTTAATCTATCTCTGACATGAGAATAGACAAATCATTATTCTTGAAGTGTGTACAGTTTACTCATTTCCAAGTGAACAGAATACTAATTTAGAAAATGTGCTTGCTATACAAAGGTTTAGTCTCCCACAACACTATTAGTGAAAACATGGCATTTCGCATATGCTCTTTTCAGCGTTGAGGCAGGACAAATCTGCCCATTTTTGCCAGTGGAAGACAGTCCTCTCCTCGTGGGTTGTGTTTCAGCCAGTCATCTGGAGGATACAGCCACAACCTTGAAAAGCCCCCCGGCCACCGGAAAAAACGTAAAAGAACAAGATTAAACAGTCAGCCTTTTGTTGCAGAGGGGCCAAACTCAGAGCCATATTTTTATTTTAAATATATGGCTCTGACCAAATGGTTTTCTGTAATAGTCAAGCATAAGCTATTATAGATAGATGAAGTGCTTACGATCGGTTGATCACTAAGGGAGTGTGACCCAACCAGATCCACGTACCCTTTCTCTATGAATCAGTGAGACCAATCCAGTGAAGTGAAGAGCCACCGATGCTGCCAACCCTCTCTGCAAGAAAGTCCTTGGAAAACAATAGTATGCTCAAGAGCTGAAGAGGTTTAAATACTCACAAAATCTTTCCTTACCCCAGGACACTACAACAGGTGACTATCCCAGAAAAATAAAGAAGGAGTACTCTGTGTCTGCAAAGATCTTTGTTTTAAGATGATCTATTTTAGACTGTACCTGTTCCTTCTCGCTGTTGATGATGACCAGCTCTCCTTCCAGAGCCTGACAGAGCCCCCTGCTGGCTTCTCAAGTTGTGCTCTCCTCAGAGAAGGTATAGAACCCTCAAACTCGACTCTGGACCTCTAAGACAGTTCCACTGCGTTTCTTCATTGTTGCCCTCTAATCAGGGACTGATTTAGACCTGGAACACCAGGTGGGTGCACTTCATTATCAGGTAGAACAGAAAACCAAACCTTGTAGGGTAAGAGTTGAATACCCCTGGTGTAGAAGCTGCTGAGGGTCTGCACCTCCCTGTTGGTCCTCACTGGTCATCAAAGGCTTGGAGTAACCCTGGATTGTAAACTGTTATGGTCAAAACATATGATGGGGAGAAGTATGTCCATAATAAAGCGCTGCTCTGCCTTCTTAACAGCACTATCAACAAGGCAGATCCTACAGGCCCTAGTTTTGTCGCACCTGGACTACTGTTCAGTCGTGTGGTCAGGTGCCACAAAGAGGGACTTAGGAAAATTGCAATTGGCTCAGAACAGGGCAGCACAGCTGGCCCTTGGATGTACACAGAGAGCTAATATTAATAATATGCATGTCAATCTCTCCTGGCTCAAAGTGTATTGTATTTGTGAAAGGTATTGACATGTTGAATGCACCGAGCTGTCTGTTTTAACTACTGGCACACAGCTCAGATACCCATGCATACGCCACAAGACATGCCACCAGAGATCTCTTCACAGTCCTCAAGTCCAGAACAGAATATGGGAGGCGCACAGTACTACATAGAGCCATGACTATATGGAACTCTGTTCCACATCAAGTAACTCATGCAAGCAGTAAAATTAAATAAATAAAAAACAGATAAAAATACACCTTATGGAACAGCGGGGACTGTGAAGCAACACAAACACAGGCACAGACACATGCATACACACACACGATAACATACGCACTATACACACAAGTACACATGGATTTTGTGTTGTAGATACAGTTGAAGTCGGAAGTTTACATACACTTAGGTTGGAGTCATTCAAACTCAATGTTCAACCACTCCACACATTTCTTATTAACAAACTAGTTTTGGCAAGTCGGTTAGGACATCTACTTTGTGCATGACACAAGTAATTTTTCCAATAATTGTTTACAGACAGATTATTTCACTTATAATTCACTGTATCACAACTCCAGTGGGTCAGAAGTTTACATACACTAAGTTGACTGTGGTGTTTGCAACGCCAGGCAATACGCTTGACCTCATCTTTACTAGATGCTGTTCTTCTACTAATCTCACTGCAACTCCCCTCCAAGTCTCCGACCACTACTTTGTATCCTTTTCTCTCTCGCTCTCCTCCAACACTACTCACTCTGCCCCTACTCAGATGGTAATGTTCCGTCGCAACATTCGCTCTCTCTCTCCCGCTACTCTCTCCTCTTCCCTCTGCTAAATCCTTCTCCCTCCGATCTCCTGATTCTGCCTCCTCAACCCTCCTCTCCTCCCTTTCTGCATCTTTTGACTCTCTATGTCCCCTATCCTCCCGGCCGGCTCGGTCCTCCCCTCCTGCTCCATGGCTTGACGACTCATTGCGAGCTCACAGAAGAGGGCTCCGGGCAGCCGAGCGGAAATGGAGGAAAACTAGACTCCCTGTGGACCTGCCATCTTTTCACTCCCTCCTCTCTACATTATCTTCCTCTGTTTCCACTGCCAAAGCCACTTTCTACCACTCTGAATTTCAAGCCTCTGACTAACCCTAGGAAGCTCTTTGCCACCACCTCCTCCCTGCTGAATACTCCACCTCCTCCCTCTCTGTGGATGACTTCGTCAACCATTTTGAAAAGAAGGTTGACGACATCCGATCCTCATTTATTAAGTCAAATGACACTGCTGGTCCTGCTCACACTGCCCTAACCTATGCTTTGACTTCTTTCTCCCCTCTCTCTCCAGATGAAATCTTGCGACTTGTGACGGCCGGCCGCCCAACAACCTGCCCGCTTGACCCTATCCCCTCCTCTCTTCTCCAGACCATTTCCGGAGACCTTCTCCCTTACCTCACCTCGCTCATCAACTCATCCTTGGCCACTGGCCATGTCCCTTCCGTCTTCAAGAGAGCGAGAGTTGCACCCTCCTCAAAAAACCTATAGTTGATCCCTCCGATGTCAACAACTACAGACCAGTATCCCTTTCTTTTCTCCAAAACTCTTGAGCATGCCGTCTCTAGCCAACACTCCTGCTATCTCTCTCAGAATGACCTTCTTGATCCAAACCAGTCAGGTTTCAAGACTGGTCATTCACTGAGACTGCGCTTCTCTGTGTCACGGAGGCTCTCCGCACTGCTAAAGCTAACTCTCTCTCCTCTGCTCTTATCCTTCTAGACCTATCCGCTGCCTTTGATACTGTGAACCATCAGATCCTCCTCTCTACACTCTCCAAGTTGGGCATCTCTGGCGCTGCTCACTCTTGGATTGCATCCTACCTGACAGGTCACTCCTTTCTGCCTCCGCACCACGTGCTCTCACCACTGGTGTCCCCCAGGGCTCAGTTCTAGGCCCTCTCCTATTCTCTCTATACACCAAGTCACTTGGCTCTGTCATATCCTCACATGGTCTCTCCTATCATTGCTACGCAGACGACACACAATTAATTTTCTCCTTTCCCCCTTCTGATAACCAGGTGGCGAATCGCATCTCTGCATGTCTGGCAGACATATCAGTGTGGATGTCGGATCACCACCTCAAGCTGAACCTCGGCAAGACGGAGCTGCTCTTCCTCCCGGAGAAGGACTGACCCTGGACAACACCCTGTCATTCTCCGCTAACATCAAAGTGGTGACCCGATCCTGCAGGTTCATGCTCTACAACATTCGCAGAGTACGACCCTACCTTACAGAGAAAGCGGCACAGGTCCTAATCCAGTCACTTGTCATCTCCCGTCTGGATTACTGCAACTCGCTGTTGGCTGGGCTCCCTGCCTGTTCCATTAAACCCCTACAACTTATCCAGAACGCTGCAGCCCGTCTGGTGTTCAACTTTCCTAAGTTCTCTCATGTCACCCCGCTCCTCTGCACACTCCACTGGCTTCCAGTTGAGGCTCGCATCTACTACAAGACCATGGTGCTTGCCTACGGAGCTGTGAGGGGATCGGCACCTCTGTACCTTCAGGCTCTGATCAGTCCCTACACCCAAACGAGGGCACTACGTTCATCCACCTCTGGCCTGCTAGCCCCCCTACCTCTAAGGAAGCACAGTTCCCGCTCAGCCCAGTCAAAGCTATCCGCTGCTCTGGCACCCCAATGGTGGAACAAGCTCCCCCACGACAGCGGAGTCACTGACCACCTTCCGGAGACACTTGAAACCCTATCTCTTTAAGGAATACCTGGAATAGTATAAAGTAATCCTTCTACTCCCCCACAAAAAAAAAGAAACAAAAAAAAGAATAAAAGTGGTTGTCCCACTGGCTATCATAAGTTGAATGCACCAATTTGTAAGTCACTCTGGATAAGAGCGTCTGCTAAATGATGTAAATGTAAATTGGAGTGTGTAGTGCCTTACAGATTTTATATTTCCATGAGAGGTAAATTAGATATTATCAAATATACACAAACAAAAATATAAACACAAGATGTAAAGTGTGCTGTTTCATGAGCTGAAATAAAAGATCACAGAAATGTTCCATACGCACAAAAAGCTTATTTCTCTCAAATGTTGTGCTCAAATTTGTTTACATCCCTGTTAGTGAACATTTATCTTTTTCCAAGATAATCCATCCACCTGACAGGTGTTGCATAACAAGAAGCTGATTAAACAGCATGATCTTTACACAGATGCACCTTGTGCTGGGGACAATAAAAGGCCACTCTAAAATGTGCAGTTTTATCAAACAACACAATGCCACAGATGTCTCAAGTTGAGGGAGCGTGTTTCTCTACCATAAGCCTCCTCCAATGTCGTTTTAGAGAATTTGGCAGTACATCCAACTGGCCTCACAACCACAGACCACGTGTATAGCGTTGTGTGGGCGAGCAGCAGTTTGCTGATGTCAACGTTGTGAACAGAGTACCCCATGGTGGGGGTGGGGTTATGGTATGAGCAGGCATAAGCTACGGACAACGAACACAAATGCATTTTTTCGATGGCAATTTTCTGTTAAATTCCTTTGAAAGTTATAACCTTTATGTCTGCACTAAAATAGCAAACTCAAACCAAATGGTTCATGGGAAATTATTTACAGAACAAGAATACAAGTATAACAAGAATCCAAATTAATTGTTTTGACTGATTTCGGAGTCACACCACTTAAGTAGAATTTGACCACCAAGGGGTGATGGGGTAATGCAGAACTAACCCAGTGAATATCCTCATGATAAACTAAAGGATAGAGATCACCTGAGAGAAACCATTACAAAACCTCACAGCAACTTCTATCTTTTATTTTGCACAAAAATTCCCCCGCATCTTCACATTTGTTTTCCTGCATCATAAAACCATGAGACCCGTTTTTCCATTCGGTTTGCATCCCATCCAACACTCTACATAAAAACAAAATGTTTACTTGGGTGTTATCCAGCCCCCTCCCTGGCCCAGGTCCCAAAATCTTTGACAGTTTCGATTCTCAATTCCAGAGGTGTTATACCCACAAACAGTATCCAGTCCCTCCCGTGCCCCCTCTCAGCAGCCCCCACCCCAACCATTCCCCCTCCAGATATCTGCTCTCCCGGCCTCAACTTAAAAAAAACTTTTAAAAAATGTCCGAACTACTCCACATTGTTAAGTTCTTGGTGATGACAGCTGTTCCATTTAACAGTAACCGTTGTATTTTCTTCTGAACAGGGCTTCTGAATGGGTCACGGCAGTTAGTACAGATGGGACAAAAAATATATATTTAAAAAAAGATGAAGGACAAAACCCCTCATTTACCCCTCAGTCAGCTGTGTACAGAGTGAACTCTAGAATGCCTACAGTGAAGAAAATTGAGGGGTTGATAGTAAATCTGCAGGTTCAAGCCTCAGTATCGAGAGAAGAAATAACATTGATAGAAGCCCTTGTCGTGTCCACTTTGGATATTAATTACCTTATTTATTTTTCTTCCTTTTTAAATGTTTTTGATTGTTTAGATTTCTCTCTCTAAAACTTTACTTTGGGGATGATGAGATTTGTTTTGCAAAAGCGTGTCGCACACATGAAGGATAATACAATGTTAGCGTCTAGTGAGTATGTGTTAGTATAATTTTCCTGTCATGTTTGTCTTACTGTACATGTATGTTGTGTAGTTATACGTGTGTGTGTGTTATATGGTGAATTGTGCAGTGTGTTTATATGATTTCTGGTACAATCATTACAGACTTCAAATTGTTATATGGGATGGTAACTACAATGGCTTAAGGTCCATGTGATGGGAGGGAGAGAGAGTGAGTGTGGAGAAGGACCAACTACCCCGACTCCCTGCCTGGCAGCGGTAGTGCAGGTCAAAGTTCAAAGGTCAAAAAGTAAAAATGGGCGGTGGGTTCTCTTTCCTGAAGAAGGAAGTCCATCGGTCCATCTGTCAGGTGGTCAGTGCATTGTGTGGTCTCCTGGCCTAACTGTGAAGCTCAGTGGGGATGGGGTGAAGAGGGGTGTCACTGTAGTACCAAGCCAACCTGTGAACCACAGAAAAGGGAAGCTTATGATAGTTTCACCAGAAGTTCAAATGAGAACACACGATGACATCTGTGAAGCCTGTATACTTCTCTGCCTGGCTTAACTGCGATAACAAGATAATCAAGTCAACAGTTCCCTATCTCATTTATAACACTTCCTCCTTTTGTACCAGAAAAAAAACATATTTAGCTCTTAGTGGTGCATATCTCCATAGGCATGATCTCATTGGTTTACAGTACAGTCTAGGTAACACAAAACACTGTTTCATTATCATCATATTACCATGGATAATTGATATCAATGTGAAAAATAGTAATCACTCTAGGAACTGACTGAACTATCAGTAAATATGAACTATGGGCATCATGACGCACCTTCTCTGACCCCATGCTAGGACACTTCCAATTGTACAGATAATACTGTAGATTTCCATCTCCGATGCCAAACTTCAGCTTCTCCAGGAAAGTCTTATTCTCCATCAGGTCCAGTGCATTGAAAACGTCAAACCCTTTCTGGATATTGACAATAGATATGGATGAGAGAGGGGGATACGGAGAGAGATGGGGGAGAGGGATTAAGTTAGATAAAGGTGAATTATACACTGAGGACACAAAACATTAAGAACTCCTGCGCTTTCCATGACAGACTGACCAGGTGAATCCAGGTGAAAGCTATGATCCCTTATTGATGCCCCTTGTTAAATCAACTTCAGTGTAGATGAAGGGGAGGAGACTGGTTAAATAAGGATTTGTAAGCCTTGAGACAATTCAGACATGGATTGTGTATGTGCCATTCAGAGGGTGAATGGGCAAGACAAAAGATTTAAGTGCCTTTGAACGGGTTATGGTAGTAGGTAACAAGCGCACCGGTTTGTGTCAAGAACTGCAATGCTGCTGGGTTTTTCATGCTCAACAGTTTCCCGTGTGTATCATGCATAGTCCACCACCCAAAGGACATCCAACCAACTTGACACAACTTTGGGATGCATTGGAGTCAACATGGGCCAGCATCCCTGTGGAACGCTTTTGACACCTTGTAGAGTCCATGCCCTGACAAATTGAGGCTGTTCTGAAGGGAAATGTTGGTATACTCATTGTACACAGTAAGTATTTGACCTGGTACCCAAATCCATCTCCCATTTGACCTCCAGTCGTCTGAACCAGGAGGACCAACTCACCGACTTGGCCAGAATGAGTGCGTCAGACATCAGGTCCAGCAGGGTGGTGGTGGTGTGCACGTTGTAGAAGGAGTAGGCTGCCTTGAGGCTGCGGTGCACTGGATGGTTCATGATAGTAGAGGGGAGTGTGTAGAAGCTCAGGAAGTCTGTCACTTTGCCCCCAGACGTCTGCCACAGGGAGAGAAGACACATCCTCCAACATAAGTCACCAACTAAAAAAATTCACTCCATTTGAGATGTGTGTGAAATTAAGGTGACATAAGGTGAACAATGTTGTCTAAAGGTAGATGTCTCCGCCAGTGAAGCGTCTACAGAGGGTATCTGGATAGGTGTCCATATATGGTAATGTCTAATGGTCTACTAAGTGTATATCATATACTAGGTGTAATGTGTAACGTTATAGGTGTCTACGGTAGTGTACGTTTTAACAATGGTACTGACCACGACCAGGTAGGTGTCGATGATGTTCTCCTGGGGCAGCAGCCAGTGCTCCACCTCCTCGGGGCTCATGACGGGGGCCAGGTGGAACTGGCTCAGGTACTCCAGGAGCAGGCGATGCACAGCCGGAACATCCTTCCTGGTCATCGGCCGCAAGCCAGACGTCTTTGGGGCCTGGAGAGAAGGAGATGGAAGGTTATGGTAATCCTTTTCAAATGGAGAGTTTTATGTCAACACAATAGACATTTCAAATAGAGGCATCATGTGATGGCTGAGCGGTTGGGTGTTGTGCAGAGGACAGCCTCTAGATGGCACTTTGCTCACTGACTCACCTCAGGCAGACGGTACAGCTTCATGGTGCGTTGCATAGTCATGTTCCGGCTCAGGTGAGAGAACTTCACCTCGATCAGCTTGCGTGGGTTCAGAGAGCGATGCCAGTACCTATACAGATAACAGATTGTATAACCACTTTTCACTTTGTTTTTGTGTTTGAGAAAATATGAATTTGGTTGGATGGATCTATGTCTGGTGTGGTGTGGTGTGGTTGGTGGGTGTGCCTCTCAGTGACCCACCTGCAGGTGCCCACAGGTTTGGGCAGTACCACGCCAGCGGTGTAGACAGCCTGGAAGATGCCCTTCAGGTTGACCCGTCTGGTGATCTCTCGGATCAGGACTGGCGCTACCCGCTTGGAGCGCAGCTTCTTGTGGACGCACAGGAAGTTGATCTCCACCATCTTCTTGTTTCTAAATGACAAAAATAGTCTAGAGTGAGTAAGGCCTCCTCTTAACGTCTGACTTCTTACAGCAAATTAACACAGGAAAGGATATAATCAAGGAGATAATATAGCTAACAATAGGAATGTAATATTAATTATTTAAAATACTAGTGTATGGGAGTAATAAAAGTGTGTGAACAAGAGCATGATGCATATTCACTGACTGGTCATAGATGCGGATGTTGGCAGGGATGGCACTGATGAAGCCCACCAGCTTCTGGTTGGAGTTCACCCTCACCCCACAGTGCCACTGGGGCAGCCAGCCGGGGGGGCGCAGAGCCCTGAGGGAGAGAGACATTACAGTTACAGGTCAGTTCCCAACTACGATAGAAAACATGAGGGCCAAGAGTTTTCCTGGTCAGAAAAAACTCCTCTTTAAAGATATCACATCTAACATAAGAGATCTCTATTGAAAGAGATTGTTACATAAATGAGACTAGCTGAGTAACAAAGTTGACATAGCTAAGTAATAATGAGTTACCAGAGCAGGAACTCTGGGGAGTAGTCAAAGCGGAACATGTTGTCATCATCCTCCACATAGTTCTCATTGAGCAGAGTGTACAGCTCCTTCAGCTAAAAGGAGGAAGAGTGAGAGACTGAGCCATGGGAAAAGCCACGACTGAAAGGGTTAAATTAAGTAGGGTAAAGTGGGGTGAGCTGATGGAATAACCAGAACCAAAGGGAAGTATTTTGATTGCTATCACTATATTGTTTTGGGACCCTCAGTCTGGGGTGGAGGGGTTGTGGAGGCTCCTCCTCACCACAGCGGCATTGCCCAGATCCAGGGCATCCCACGTGAAGCCTGAAGGAAGGCTGTAGGGCTCCTCCCGGATGTTGTCTTTGTCAGGCTCGATGGAACCATGCGATGTCACCATCTCCCCTAAGGGAAACAACAAAACGCAATGAAGGAGGATATTAGCAATCTGTATATTCAATGTTAATTTACAAAGCATAACATCATAGGAGGTTTAATCCAAAAACGGGGAGCCCAATTGGACTACTCATATCAAAATCTCCTCAGGTCACTACTACTTTTTTGAATAAAAAAAAATAATAGGCCTATGAAAAGGCTTTGTCTAAATTTAATAATGTATGTGACATTGCTACACAGAGTGAGATTATTTATTTTGGAAACAAATCTTATGCATATTTTAACAATGAAAAAGCTTTGTCTAAATGTAATTAGCTACACTGAACAAAAATATAAACACAACATGCAGTGTTGGTCCCATGTTTCATGAGCTGAAATAAAAGATCACAGAAATGTTCCATATGCACAAAAAGCTTCTCTCTCAAATGTTGTGCACAAATATGTTTACATCCCTGTTAGTGAGCATTTCTCCTTTGCCAAGATAATCCATCCATCTGACAGGTGTGGCATATCAAGAAGCTGATTAAACAGCATGATCATTACACAGGTGCACCTTGTGCTGGGGACAATAAAAGGCCACTAAAATGTGCAGTTTTGTTACACAACGCCACATATGTCTCAAGTTTTGAGGGAGCGTGCAATGGGCATGCTAACTGCAGTAATGTCCACCAGAGCTGTTGCCAGAGAATTGAATGTTCATTTCTCTACCATTCTCTAAAACATCGTTTTAGAGAATTTAGCAGTACGTCCAACCGGCCTCACAACCACAGACCACGTGTAAAGTCAAATGACCAAAGTCGCTAAACTTGCTAGATAAACTCAACAAATGACAGAATATCACCTATTTGGCTAAATCGAGTTGTTGATTATAGAGATAGCAGATCAGCTCATGAATAACAGGGAGATTAAGAGAGGAAATTGTTTAAATATCAAGGTATCTTAACGGGGACCAACTGTTTAAAAAATATCCATATCTACACTCATACCGTTTGTTGATCATGCGAGACAGGAGTCAGGATTTGGGGTTTCAGTGGGATTGGGACGATATATGGCTATTAGGTGAGTCAATAGATCAGTAATACACTTGATTTAGGCTTCATTATTGCAAGCTAAAAGTTTCTGATCAGTGATAGATGAGCAAACGAATAAATGAGCTACATCCACTTGTCCAACCAGAGATCAATTAACCAAATATACAGAGAGATTCAGTGAAACAAAATCACATTGATCAGACACAGGCTTTTGGTCAGGAGTAGAACAGGCTACTATGCAAGTGAAGAGCAAAATCTACTTGTATAACTAAGGTGAGTTTTTCTGCGCTTTTCTAGGCACAATGGCAGTTTCCTCGTCTATTCACTCCGCTGCCGCCCGCCCGCCTCCGATGTGTTGTTCTCAACAACAGTTTAAATCAATATAGGCTACTGTTTCCTAGAAATCAGGCATTCTTTCAGGTTCATTAAATTTCTGTGATGTCGGACCAGGGCTCGGGGTTTCAGCTCACCGGGCTTGGGTCAGACCGGGATCGTATTTTCACATCGGATAAGAACTCTAAACTGCATTCGGTCTCGTGTGCAATCCGGCAGTGTCAATGATGCGTGTGCTTTGAATTTATGGCGACTTCATGTGAAGTAAATGCGCTAGGTTCAAGGCTTCCATGAGACAACCTGTTTGGATGATGTGCCATTTAATTTTTTCCCCAATCTGCTGCTGCACAAGTTGTGTATTTTGTGGAATTGCATTAGTGCGATATTGGGGGGGAAATTTTGTAATTTCCCAGGGTTTGGCATTTAATTTTTTGGGGAAATGTGAAGAGTGGTCCCGGGACAGTCCCGGCATCCCAGTTACATGTGCTATTCCCTACTAGTCACTACAGTAAGGTTGTGAGGTTGGAGAGACATTTCTGTACCCCTGCCAAATGTCATACCTAGCTTGGGGACAGGCTGTGTGTCCCAGAACTGGTAGCTGCGTCGGCTTGCCTCCTCCATGGTTTTGGCAGGGCCCTGGCCTACAGAGAACAGTTCAATGGCCTTTTGGATCTCCTGCAGTTTATCAGCAGGCAGAGAGTTCACCTGTGTAGAGAGAGAGAGAGTAATGTAGAGTTGAAAAGGAAACGAATTGCCAAATGCAAACAATGTCTGCACAGACATTTTAAAACATACCCATTCAGTTTTGTAGAGGCCGTTTTCAAAAGTTACAGAACAATAAGTCAATATCGGTCTTTCTAGCACTCCTCTCTCAAAAGAACAAACACAAAGAAAAAACATTTGCCCCCACACTCATTCATGTAGCCTACACACGTACATACATCTACCTTGGCTAGCGGATCCTCCTCTGTAGGTTCTTTATTAGCCCCAGACTTCTTCTTCTTCTTTTTGTTTTTCTTCTTCTTGGCACTGCTGTCATCTCCCTGGCCCTTGTCACTACCATAGGAAAAAAAAAAAAACATGTAACTATAAGACTTTCCATAGGCCAGGAGAGTGCCACAACTGTTTCAGTCCTCTTCATTACCAACCTAGAATACCCAGTATCTTATAAGATAGGATGGCAACAAGCATGTGGTGACCTTTTGTCACAAATACAGATCATTTACAGTTTATTGCCAAGCTAGTTTAAGTTGGAGTTATTCCTCCATACCCTGATCACCAAGGACTCTAGAAGAGCCCCCACCATGTGGCCCATTTCCTGGGCAGGGCAGGGACAGGGAGACAGCAGCATACTTACAAGAACAGGGGATAATCGCATTAGCATACGAGAGGGGAGTGAGGCTAGGGACAGGCCTGTATTTGTAACACCAGGACAGATGGTGAATCACATGACCCCCCCCGGGGGGAGTGTGTGGCTATGTGTGTTTGTACGTGTGTATGAGGGACGTTAAGGGGACACTGACAGGAACAATAGAGGACCAAGCATTCAATGGCTTATTCGACAGGCTTCCATTCCAGCAGTCAAACCTAACTACCATCCAGAACCATTCACCCTTAATTTCCCGGACACACAGATCAGTGTGTGTGTGTTGACTGGCACTATGATTTTAACACTGGATCAGGCATCAACACCTTTCAGAGTGAATATTCAGTGTGACAGAAGAGAGAAGGGGAGGAAACATTAAGGAAATGTATCCCCAAGAATAAATAGGTATTCAGAGGAAAAAGAGGTGGTCATCTTGTGGTTGGTTGAGAGTGACTATTTTCATTAGCCAGCTCCCATAGAGACAATTTAATCACCAATTTATAAAAGCAGCTTTTCATTTAGCTAACTAGCTATCAAATGTAATATTCATGTTAACTTATTTAGCTACCTAGCAGGGTTCCAGATGCTCGCATACACACTGACATCATCAAGCCACACAAGGGCTGTAAGATAGCTACATGGTACTATATGGTAAGTTCAACACGGCAAATTACAGAAGGAATGTTAGGAGCAGTTACTTTCATTTTCTCCTGGCAAAATAAAGCTAATTGATTAAACATGTCAGGCTGCATAGACCTTGACAGAGAAAACATACAGTAGCTTCATTAGCGAGCAATGCCTAGATATTGAAGATGCTGGCAAGCCAAGCAACACTAGACTTGCATATGTTGCTCTAATTTTTCATTCAGCATGCATTGGCTCCATGTTACTGGACACAAAACTAGTGTTGTTTGGCTTGATATCAGGGACACACAGAAAATCTGAAATAATAATAAATACAATAATCATGTAAAAAACGTTATTGATGAGAGAGAATTTAACTAGGGCTGTAAAATAATGAAGATTTTAAAATGTCATTATTATTATTAAAGTAAAGGACACCTGACCTTATATTTAAAACCTTCTGGAATCCACATTTTACACTAAATAAGTAGTGACATTTCCTGGGGACAGAAAAGGAACCGCATGGTAGGAATGACCCAACTATGCTAAAGAAATTAGCACCTATCATGCTGGTGTTGCTGTGCTGAAAAGGAAGACAGACGATGAATAATTATTTACCCTAATATGTTGATTGTTTTTGACAGACAGTGTCACAAGTTCGGGAGTCAACTAACAAGTCAACGTCGTAAAAAGGCATAGCTGGCTAGCTAGTTAGCTAACGTTATCAGTTTCGCATTTGACTTAAGACGTCGTATCTAACATTTGGACGCTGGTCTCTATTCTACATCCATGTGTTCCAGTTTAATATTGTACTACAATCTGATTTGTGTTGGTCTTGACCGCATAATTGTATTTAATTGATCATAATATGGTTCAATTTCTTGTACAGTGACCCAATGGTAGTTAGCTATGCCTCGCGATGATAGCAAAAGGAGGAACGGCATGAAACCCCGCCCATAACAGGAACATAACCAATTTAGATCCAATCAGAGCGAAAAGCAGGCAATCAGTAAACCGTTATCACCAATCATGCAAAAGCAGGTGGGAGGGATTAGTTCAATTGGGTTTGCTCAAGCCCAGCTGAGCTTAGCTTGCACCGTATCTTTCAAACGAGCGCAGGAGCATGACACATTTTCTAGCATGCTAAAAAATAAGTGTGCACCCTTACCCATCATCAAAGTGATGCTCGTCATTTTCGCAATCACTGCAATGTCCATGGTCTTCTTCTACCTCCTCTTCTTTCTCCGGCTTCGGTGCTGTCTCATTCTCATCCGCCATCTTTAACCAGGAAGTGAAGAATCACCGCGTGCATTCAACGCCTCAAAACAACCTGCGATGCTATTGGCCGACTGTTGTGGTGCATTCTGGTTCTTGTAGTTATTAATGTGACAGGTTGTGATATTGAAATGTTAATTTTAACAACACTTTCGAAGGTTACATAAGGTACATGGCGCAGCGGTCTAAGGCACTGCATCTCAGTGCTTGAGGCGTCACTACAGACCCCCTGGTTCGATTCCAGGCTGTATCACAACCGGCCGTGATTGGGAGTCCCGTAGGGCGGCGCACAATTGGCCCAGCGTCGTCCGGGTTTGGCCGGTGTAGGCCATCATTGTAAATAAGAATTTGTTCTTAACTGACTTGCCTAGTTAAATAAAGGTAAAATAAATAAATGTCCCTAAACAGGATTGAGCCTCAGTTGTCTATTAAACAATGTCACGTAGTTGTGACTCACCCAATTATTTATATATACATTGGTTGACCGAAAGGGGGCACTGTTTTGAAGCCACCGCGCCTCCATCTTGGCACTCCTCCACCGTTGTAAAACATATTTTGGAAGCTATATAAATGCATTTTAATAATATCTACATTTGTTGTTGCCAGGTTTATTCTATTACAGACACCTTAATGCATACTTTTAAACTACATTATGTGAGCTAAAAATAAATCCTTAAAGAATCGTTTTTAGAAAGTACTAATGTTACTGTCCCCACTACAACAACAAAAATACTTAAATACATGTAATTTGGTCCTTAAAATGAAATACTGTAGAATTCCATTAATTCCTATGGACTCACCTCTGTTGATATGTGCCAACCATAGACCGCATGGGGGCGCCAACAAATCTTGTCACCTGACCTGGGTATGATCATATGATGCACTGATTTCTGTCTTTTGATTTTACATTACTCATACATCTTTACAACATTTGGATAGGTGAAAAGAGTAAAACTTACAAATGGGGGTTTAATCATCTACACTAATTTTAAATGAGTTGTGATAGTTTGATGTTCTCCAATGAATCCAGCACAACAGACTGACTAGACGTTTATACGACTCATTTATATGGCAGAAGGAGGCTCTGTGTGTGTTGTGTGTCAGTATGTTGTGCATACAACCTCCTACTTCACTTCACTTCCCTCAAAAATAAATCTGTTTTCTCACACAGACACCATTCAAGCACAAATACAGTTGAAGTCGGAAGTTTACATACACCTAAGCCAAATACATTTAAACTCAGTTTTTCACAATTCCTGACATTTAATCCTAGTAAAAAATTCCCTGTCTTAGGTCAGTTAGGATCACCACTTTATTTTAAGAATGTGAAATGTCAGAACAATAGTAGAGAGAATTATTTATTTCAGCTTTTATTTCTTTCATCACATCCCCAGTGGGTCAGAAGTTTACATACACTCAATTAGTATTTGGTAGCATTGCCTTTAAATTGTTTAACTTGGGTCAAACGATTCGGGTAGCCTTCCACAAGCTTCCCACAATAAGTTGGGTGAATTTTGGCCCATTCCTCCTGACAGAGCTGGTGTAACTGAGTCAGGTTTGTAGGTCTCCTTGCTCGCACACGCTTTTTCAGTACTGCCCACACATTTTCTATAGGATTGAGGTCAGGGCTTTGTGATGGCCACTCCAATTCCTTGACTTTTTTGTCCTTAAGCCATTTTGCCACAACTTTGAAAGTATGCTTGGGGTCATTGTCCATTTGGAAGACCCATTTGCGACCAAGCTTTAACTTCCTGACTGATGTCTTGAGATGTTGCTTCAAAATATCCACATAATTTTCGTTCCTCATGATGCCATCTATTTTGTGAAGTGCACCAGTCCCTCCTGCAGCAAAGCACCCCCACAGCATGATGCTGCCACCCCCATGCTTCATGGTTGGAATGGTGTTCTTCGGCTTCCAAGACACCCCCTTTTTCCTCCAAACATAACAATGGTCATTATGGCCAAAAAGTTATATTTGTGTTTCATCAGACCAGAGGACATTTCTCCAAAAAGTACGATCTTTGTCCCCATGTGCAGTTGCAAACTGTAGTCTGGCTTTTTTATGGCGGTTTTGGAGCAGTAGCTTCTTCCTTGCTGAGCGGCCTTTCAGGTTATGTCGATATAGGACTCGTTTGACTGTGTATATAGATACTTTTGTACCTGTTTCCTCCAGCATCTTCACAAGGTCCTTTGCTGTTGTTCTGGGATTGATTTGCACTTTTCGCACCAAAGTACGTTCATCTCTAGGAGACAGAACGCGTCTCCTTCCTGAGCGGTATGACGGCTGCGTGGTCCCATGGTGTTTATACTTGCGTACTATTGTTTGTACAGATGAATGTGGTACCTTCAGGTGTTTGGAAATTGCTCCCAAGGATGAACCAGACTTGTGGAGGTCTCAATGTTTTTTCTGAGGTCTTGGCTGATTTCTTTTGATTTTCCCATGATGTCAAGCAAAGAGGCACTGAGTTTGAAGGTAGGCCTTGAAATACATCCACAGGTACACCTCCAATTGACTCAAATGATGTCAATTAGCCTATCAGAAGCTTCTAAAGCCATGACATCATTTTCTGGAATTTTCCAAGCTGTTTAAAGGCACAGTCAACTTAGTGTATGTAAACTTCTGACCCACTGGAATTGTGATACAGTGAATTATAAGTGAAATAATCTGTCTGTAAACAATTGTTGGAAAAATTACTTGTGTCATGCACAAAGTACATGTCCTAACCGACTTGCCAAAGCTATAGTTTGTTAACAAGAAAGTTGTGGAGTGGTTGAAAAACAAGTTTTAATGACTCCAACCTAAGTGTGTGTAAACTTCCGACTTCAACTGTACATTGAAATAGTATGCCAGAATTGAAAATACAGAAGGGCACAATGGGGTTAAAATAGTTTTTATAAAACCTGAACATGCTCTCTTGGCTTTCACACTTACTATTAAAATAATATTACTCTCTTCTCATTCAGTACAATACAAACCAGTTTGTGAGATGAATGAAGCAGACAGCCAAATAAATACTGTACTAATGTCACTTACTATACTAATGTCAATGAGAATATTGCCCCTGAAGCGAAGGGAAATTATTATTTTCTAAAGCACTATAAGGACACACTATCTTCAAAGTTTGGATTGAAGTGTTTTTTGTTGTTAAATGGACTGGGAGACCTTTCAGATCTGGTGGCTGGATTTAACACTGGCCCATATGAATCTGATGCCCACTGTGTGCAGCCCACAGATATAAGTCACAACAAAGTATACAATGAAAGAGACACTGAGGTAAACAGGCACGTATATACTGTCTTAGCAACTACAATAAATAATACTAACAGCTCTTTCCATTGAAATAAGGCAGGCACATGTAAATACAGTATTTTAAACTGTCAAAACCATTTGCTGGTTTTCAAAATTAGAGTGACTTTGAATTTAAATTTAGATGACCAGACAAAATAATACAAATAATAAAGTCCAGCAACAATACATTCTACTAGTGCATTATGGATTACTTCATCAAAATGAAAACTGACCTTGGAAATTCATGAAAGCTAATTCTTCAATTATACGTATACAATATAATCATGGTTAATTGCTTTAGTCTTGGTTTGACCCTCTGTGACTTTGATGCTGTTTTTATTAAGCTAAAGGAAGTTAGTGTCAGAGAAAGTACATACAGTATTAAGCTAAAGGAAGTTAGTGTCAGAGAAAGTACATAATAATAATAATAATAATATGCCATTTAGCAGACGCTTTTATCCAAAGCGACTTACAGTCATACAGTATACAGTCATTTAAATTTAGATGACCAGACAAAATAATACAAATAATAAAGTCCAGCAACAATACATTCTACTAGTGCATTATGGATTACTTCATCAAAATGAAAACTGACCTTGGAAATTCATGAAAGCTAATTCTTCAATTATACGTATACAATATAATCATGGTTAATTGCTTTAGTCTTGGTTTGACACTCTGTGACTTTGATGCTGTTTTTATTAAGCTAAAGGAAGTTAGTGTCAGAGACAGTACATACAGTACTCATTTTACTGAGAGAATTAGAATACTGTAACTACATTAGAATATAACATTTTACAACAATGTTCAATATAATCTAAAAACCTCTATCAGCAATTGCACACTGAAAGAAGTGTGTTTCATCAATTGCAACAAACACAATTTGTTGCAAACACATTACAAAAACATTAAGTGTTGAAATGTATAAATTCTGTCACTAAGGTTAAGGCGTTCATTCAGTATTTGGGCTGTGTCATCCCAGGTGTGACACAACACCTAGACTTAATTTACAGAGGAAATGTAGTCATATAACACTATCATTGTCCTGGAAAAAGGAGCTCAACTACAAGTCTTTACCTGATAAAACACTTTTATAAGTTACAAACATAATATTCTGTAATAGTAAAAAAGTAATAATAATTGATTGGATTTATATAGCGCTTTTCTACCAACTGAGGTACTCAAAGAGCTTTACATAGTAGGGGGAAACTCACCTCATCCACCATCAATGTGCGGCACCCACCTGGGTGATGCATTTTTGTGCCAGAACGCTCACCACACATCAGCTAAAAGTAGCAAAAAAGTTCAATATTTCTTAACTTTAAATATGTAAAAAAAAAAAAGGGAAACATCTTAATGATCTGCTACAGGGACTCCAGGACACAGACGTGGCTTTGAGTGAAATAAAAACTCTATATCGGCTTCATTATAAGCAGACGGCTGCCAGGTAGAGTTCTGGTGTAAAACAGGTCAGTGCCAGAGTCATGTCTCTATGGAAACAGACACGAACACTCTGAATACACTGACGACAGAGTACAGAATACTCTCACAACAGCAACAGCCAACATATTCGGCAAGACTCCCATCCAGGTTTGACTGAGGAGGACTGATGTCTTCCCCTCTGTAGCCAGGGAGCCTTATAGGTCCTGCCAACTCTAAATTGGGTGTATGAGATGAGCACTGGTACATAGGCAGGCAGCAGCTTGTCCTTTTCACCCCAATTAGGGAGACTCCCCCCCCCCCAAGATGAAATAAGCATGACGCTTATCAGATAGGTGTGGCACTAGTTCAGGTAGATGGGGGTCATGCTTTGCCCTTACTCTTGGCCAAGGCCATGCGCTCGGACACAGTCTTGATGGGGACCCCCTTACGGGACACCTTGACATGGATGAAAAGGGTGGAAGGAGAGAGGCTGGAGCCATCTGCCTTCAGCAAGTGGACATGGCGGTAACCTAGAGAGAAATAGAGTTACTGGTGTCAGTGTCACACACAGACACACTATCTCCACAAACACGCCTACAATACAGAGACAGTCTCCTAGTACCTGTGCGGAGGCTGGTGAAGGGCAAGGTGTACTGGCCCACAAAGTCGTTCTTGGCTTTGTGGTCATGGTCTTCCACTACAAAGCGTACCAGGGCCAGCTCAGGGACCTGCAGCTGGAAGCTCAAAGTGCTGTCCCAGCGTGGGTTAAAACCTGCAGGGGGCATAGGAGAGCTGTCAGACACTGCCATCCACCACCATTCACAGCCTGAAACTACTCCACAGACCGGGATAATGGAGCTCTACACGGGAAGTATCATTTTCTGGTACTCGCATGTCTCAGAATAACTGCACTGAGCAAAGATAATGGAGTAGCTGGGGTATCTATCATGTTTCATCATCATTATGGTAAAGATAAATATGGGAGTGCGGAATAATGTTCCTGATCAATTTTCTGTCTGGAATAGTGCCGTGGGTGGTGGGAGTCATACAGGTGCCCTGGAATACTTATGTTCATTCATGGTAAAATGTCAAATGTTCCTAGTACTATTATGCTCTTCTAATTATATTTCTAATATGGTTCATTTGTGAACTCAAGGGTGTATACAACCCTTGTTATCCATTTCTTTAAGGGGAGTATAATAGATGTGCACTAGATGAGTGGAAGGTTACCATTGTTGTCGATTCGGTGGGTTTTGTCTCTGGAATTATCAATGGCCACCCCGTGAATTTCCACCCACACCAGCGGGTCCACAATGGAGTTGGGCTTGTCTGTGTTGATCTTAGGAAGCTGCTGTGCTGATATTATCTGAACACAAAATCCCCCTAATTACTTTTTGTGACTTTGTATATCAAATTCTAGTATGAAAATTATTCAAATGATTTTACAAAATGACTAATAAGGTGAAGTAGTTTACTACCTTGGTCTGTTTCCATACCACTGCTAACTAAAATGTGCACTACTATTCCAACAAGGCAGTTACCACATATACACCACCACAACAGAATCTGATTCTCAGCAGGTTTCTCACCCGTATGGTGAACTGTGTGGGGATGTGACCTGGCCCGCCTCCTGTGATCTCTGGGTTGAAGTTGGAGCTGGGGCTGCACAGGAAGCTGGGTTTGAGGATGTATCCACAGCGGCCGTTAGGCAGGAAGCGGCCCTGGTTCAGATCCATCTGCTCCCCTGGAGTCTGGAAATTCAGAGCCACTGCAGAGAGAGAAAGAGAGATAGAGAGAGGGAGAGGGAGAGAGAGAGAGAGAGGACAGACAGGAGTGTGAAAAGAGACAACAACAACATACCGCAACACATGAACAACAGAACACACTTTACCAGGAAGCAATGTGAGGTTAGTTATTATGACAAGCGGAGTGAGGAATAGGAGGCTCATACCAAACATTTGCAATGCTCTCAGTGGAGGCCCAATGTAAAATAGCTTTCCATCTCCAGGGACTTCCAGGCTAGATAATGTTAAATAAATGAGCCACTTGTACCAACTCCTTCCTCCATCCCACCCCCCACCTCCCACCCCCCTCCAGCCCAGAGTGCTAACCCATCGAGCAGCCGCCGTTCCACATATCCTGGGGGTCGTAGTTGGAGGACTGGAGGCCGCTGCCCGGAGGGGTAGATCCGGCTCAGCTGCCTGCTGTTGTGTCTGACAAACAGCTTTCCTGGAAGGTGATGAGAGGAGAGGGTAAGAGATCCATCACAATACCTCAAACGCAAATAAAAAGACTGACACACACACAAATATGCACAACAACATGATGCACAAATGCACCTGTGTATACAATGACTTTCTCTACAACTACAGTGCCAGTAAGAACTATGAGTCATTATAGGATCTCAACAGCAACTGATTCACAGAAAACTGTTCTGTTCGAGTTATGTCTTCCAAAGCCCCTTGCCTGTGTCCTTGATGTGTTTGAGGGCGTCATTCTCATTGAAGGATGACAATTCATCGGGTGGTTTTCTGGGCGGAGTGTTGGAACCCGCGGAAGGGGACACTTCGACAGTACACCACCAGTTCAGACAGTTCTGGGCTCAGCTTAGATGAGACCGCCTGAGCCAGCAACACAGAGTGCACATGAGAAATATGTTCCTAATCAATTTCTGTAGACTTACAGTGCCGTCTCAGTCACATGAAAGGTAAATGTGTAGCACCTTGGCAGGGTCCTTTTTGTCCTTTTTGTTGCTGCTTGATGCCTCGTCGTCCGAGCTGGTATCAAAGCTGCTGGTCTTCCCCAGCTGGCTCAGGTGATGAACATCCTTCTTCCCCTTCACCAGGATATGACCCCTCAGCTCCTGCAGAGGCAAGACAAAGATGCTTCAAAACACTGAAAAGCATATGTTAACATTCCTGTTAATATTCCACAATCGTTCCGTAAACATGCGAGGGATGGGAGAGAGAGCAGAAAAGGACAACAGGTTTCTTAGACAGAAGGGGACAGGGGTGAGTAGAGAGCTGGGGACAGGGGTGAGTAGAGAGCTGGGGACAAGGGTGAGTAGAGAGCTGGGGACAGGGGTGAGTAGAGAGCTGGGGACAGGGGTGTGTGTCGTACCTCAGGAGAGGGCAGGTCCTTCAGAGGCTGGTTGTTGAGGGGCTTGGTGAGCAGCCTCTCGCCCAGGATGGTGCGCAGGTGTCGGGCCATGACCGCCTGCTGCTCAACCGTACAGTGGTTCTCAAGGGACAGGATCAGGGGGTACGGGGAGGCCTACGGGAAAAAACAAGGGTTGGTTCATAAGAGGCCACTCATTCAAATGTAAGAGAAACCATAAGCTCCTTAGGTAATAAGCCAGGAAGCTGTTGGACAGCCTATAGTCTTATTAGACTCTGAGCCAAGATATTGACTGTAGCTTGAACTGAACGTCAGCAGAGGCAGAAAGTTAACAGTCTAGATGTGTTTTCTTCCATTGGCCTGCTGCTATTTACTTGTTAACTCTATTTTGTTTAGATGAGGAATACTTTGCTTTCCATAAAGAGTCACATATGGGCATGTTGGTTAAGGTGAAACATTTGGCCTCCCTATAAACCACACAACCATCTGTCCACCATCCCCCCAACCCACTAAGATAGTCTTACAGGCCAGGTGTGCTCACTCATTATTTATTTACTTTTCATTAAAAAATTAATTTGCTCACCTTGAAGGCATACTGGGCGATGGTCTCGATTACCTCTTTGAAGGGCACTTTAGAAGTAAGGGTGTGTCCATGATAGATGACAGGCTCTCCTTTGTCCCCGTCCCAACAATCCAGTTCCACACAGCGACAGCCCTGGTTCAGAGCTCTGGTTCACACAGTGCATATTCTTAGGGTGTGTGTGTGTGTGTTTGTGGGTATGCCCGTGTGCATGCATATGCGTGTGTGCATGTGTGTTTATGTGTGTGTGTCTATGAGCATTCATATGTGTGTTTGTGTGTGTGCATGTGTGTGTATTCAAACCTGATGTATGGCTCGGCACTGCTGGCACTGGTGACCTGATCCTTGGTGAGGTAGGTGTTGTGTGAGGATGAGATGAAATAGTGGGCCAGGGGTCTGGTCATGTCCTGGTGTACCCTGGCGTGGTCAGGGTTAAACACATCGTTCTCCAGGGACAGCATGTACATGGTGAAGCCATTCTGGGTCATGAATTGGTTCTTCTGGGCTGCAGGGAGGAGTGGCACATTACATTTTTTTACATTTTTAGTCATTTAGCAGACGCTCTTATTCAGAGCGACTTACAGTTAGTGAATACATTTTTTATTTATTTATATATATTTATTTATTTTATACTGGCCCCCCATGGGAATCGAACCCACAACCCTGGCGTTGCAAACGCCATGCTCTATCAACTGAGCTACATCCCTGCCGGCCATTCCCTCCCCTACCCTGGACGACGCTGGGCCAATTGTGCGCCGCCCATGAGTCTCCCGGTCGCGGCCGGCTGCGACAGAGCCTGGATTCGAACCAGGATCTCTAGTGGCACAGTTAGCATATCAAATCATATACCTTTTGTGAGGATTATGAACAGGCATAGACAGGTATAGACATGCTCGTATGATTGTGGAAACATAAAGTCAGGTGCAGAACTGGCCCTGAATTTGCAGCAATTAAATATGTAAAATATAAATACATACAAACATTCAGATAAATAAAAGCACAGTGAATGTAAGGAATGCAGTATGAAAAAAGTATGAAAATGTATGCACTCACTACTGTAAGTCACTCTAGATAAGAGCGTCTGCTAAATGACTAAAATGTAAAGTTATAAAAATCCATGGCTAAAATGATGTTCAGTGTTTCTTCGGCCTACCCCAGTCATTGAGCTCGTAGGTGCGGATGAGGCTCTGAGCGTGGATCAGTGATGCGTCCTCCCCCTGGTCTCCCAGGAAGTCTCTCAGCTCAGCGGTGGACAGAACACAGCCGTTACCAGAGTAGTGTCTGAACACCGCGTCCAGCTCTGGCCGCCTCATCAGCTCCCTGCAGAACTCCTCGATCTCTACGTGGTCCAGACGGCCGTCACACGACCGGTCAGCTTTCTGAGAGGGACGGATGGACAGACAGAGGACAGACAGAGGGAAATGAGGGACAGACAGAGGTGAAGGGAGGGACAAAGAGACAGACAGATGGGCGAATGGACAGACGGACAGACAGAGAGACTTTGGTTAGGGCTGATCTGATTAAAATACTTTCACATACACAACCCCTCCACACATTTTCAAAGGGGTTCCCTAAAAACAGCGGGCTGGATCAAAGTTAATATCTTCAATTCTTATAGGTGAGCCATGTTTATATTATCAAATCTATGGGGGTGCACTGATTTGTTATGGAAGTGCCCAGCTACCCTGTCCACTCCCATAATTCATACCATATAGACAAACATACACTCCACACATTACTGCACTGCACACTGTTGGTTTGATATTCAGTCTCTGAGGAGAGGGCTGGGCAGGGTTGGAGAAGGAGATCACATGGTGAAGGAAGGAGCAGGAAAACAACTTGACATTAACAGAGAGGAGAGCTGAGAGACTTAGCTAGCAGTAATCCTTAACTATGGAGAAATGACTGGCTGCCTGATAATTTGAGAAGGGGAGAGGGGAAGAATGGGAGAGAGGGGAAGAAGAGGAGAGAGGGGAAGAGAGGAGAGAGGGGAAGAAGGAGGAGGAGAGGAGAGGAGGGGAGAGGAGAGGGGGAGAGGGGGAGAGAAAGGAGAGAGGGGAGAAGAAGAGGAGGAAGGAGAGAGGGGGAGGGGGAAGAGGAAGAAGGATGAGAGAGGGGGAAGAGAGGGGAAGAAGGGGAGAGGGGAGGAGAGGGGAAGAGAGGGAGAAGGGAAGGGGGGGGGGAAGAAGGAGAGAGGGGATGAGAGGGAGAGGGGGAGAAGGAAGAGAGAGAAGGGGGGAAGAGAGGAGAGGGGGAAGAAGGAACAGAGAGGGGAAGAAGGAGAAGGAGAGGAGGGGGAGAAGGGAGAGGGGGAGAGAAGGGGAGAGAAGGAAGAGGGGAAGAAGAGAGAGAAGAGGGGAGAGAGGGGGAGAAGGGGAGAAGGGGAGAGAGGGAAGAGGGGGAAGGGAGAGAAGGGGAGGGGGAGAGGGAAGAGAGGGGAAGAGGGGGAAAGGAGAAGGGAAGAGAAGAGGGGAGAGAGGGGGGAGAGGGGAGAAGAGAGGGGAGAAGAAGGAGGGGGAGAAGGAAGGGGGGGGAGAAGGAAGAAGGGGAGAAGGGGGAGGGGAGAAGAGAGGGGGAGAAGGAAGAGAGGGGGGAGAAGGAAGAAGAAGGGGGAAGAGAGAGGAGAGAGGGGAAGAGGGAGAAGGGAGAGGGGGGGAAGAAGGGGGGAAGAAGGAGAGAGGGGAAGAAGGAGAGAGGGGAGAGGAGAGAGGGGAAGAAGGAGAGAGGGGAAGAAGGAGAGAGGGAAGAAGGAGGAGAGGGGGAGAGAGAGAGAGGAGGAGGGGGAGAAGGAAGAGAGGGGGAGAAGGGGAGAGAGGGGGAGAAGGGGAGGGAGAGGGGAGAGAAGGGGAAAAGAGAGGGGGGAGAGGGAGGAGAAGGGGGAAGGGGAGAGAGGGGGAGAAGGGAAAGGGGGAGAGGGGAGAAGGGGAGAGAGGGGGGAGAGGGGGAGAGGGGGAAGGGAGAGGGGGAGAAGGGGGAGGGGGAGAGGGGAGAGAGGGGGAGAAGGAGAGAGGGGGGAGAAGGGAGAGAGGGGGAGAAGGGGAGAGAGGGGGAGAAGGGGAGAGAGGGGGGAGAAGGAGAGAGAGGGGGAGAAGGGGAGAGAGGGGGAGAAGGGGAGAGGGGGGAGAAGGAGAGAGGGGGGAGAATGAGAGAAGGAGAGAGGGGAAGATGGGGGAGGACGAGACCATCAGGGGAGAAAGAAAGACAGCAGTAGAGAGAAGAGTGCAGGAGAGAGAGTATGAGTGTGTGAGTGAGAGAGTGAGAAAGAGAGCGAGGGGCCTCCTGGTTGGCTTGCCACTGGGTTGGTAATTTAACACAGACTCCAGGCTGAGAGTGAAACGCAGCCCCAATCTACTCCACAGCATACTGAATAAACAATGGCCCTCAACCAACAACAACATCTCGCCTACACACAAACGCACATGCACACACATACAGTATGTGCTCACCTTGAATAGTGAGCATGCATACTGTTCATTCAGGTCTATGTTGATCATCTGCAGCAGGCGTTTGACCTCGTCATAACTCATCTTCCCATCGTCATTCTCATCAGCCCGTTTCAGGTAGCCACGGATCCAGGTGTGGGGGGTTAAGGAGAGCAACCAGGGGAGCATACCGAACCCCTAACCCTAAACACATCCTTAAAAGTACATACTATGGTATATACAGTATTTATAGACACAAAACACATCTATACATACAGGCAGAGTTGATGCACATGCATACTGTATACAGGCACATTACAGCCCACATCCAACTATGGGTAAGGGTCAATTTCATCATTTCTTAATTCACAGCGATCCAGGAATCAATTGTATAGCCGTGTCTAATTCAACTACCAGGAATTGAAATGGAATACGATGCCAACATCCATCTGAAGTCATAATACTAAAAGCCTCCTCCAAGGCCTCTAATGAACACAGGGCTGATGTAGAGAGAGGAGCCAAAATGACACCCCCCTCTTCCAGGACACACACAACAATAAGAGCTTTTGCAAGGCTGGTCTTTATCAGTCTACTGCAAACATGGCTGGGCCCTGCCAGTGTAAAACCGCACCTCAAATCTTACCCAATAACAAGCCAAGGCACTAGCCTGGACATGTCCCAGAGCACCTACTCCTCTATCTGTTCTCATGACTCCACACATGTAAACAGAAAATGAACAGTGACAGATAAGCAGAGATACAAAGATCTGGCTTTGCGTTTTACACAAGTGTGTCTGTGTCGCTAACAACCCAGCGGCTATACAAGGGATCATGTTTGACAGGATATTCAGACTATATTTAGACAGTGCTTTTTGCTGGGCCATTGCTGCACATCTTAGGTATGCTGTGGATGCGGGATGGTGCATGTGACAGTGTTATGTTCAGAGTCAGTCACCATAGCGATCCTGGCTGCCCAGCCTGCACTATATTTACTCTGGGTCGAAGGCTGGCAGCCTGGCACAGCGCAGCAAAGAGCCACGGGAGGTAAAGGATATTGATCCAGTTTCTCCTTCTGGGTCATGTTGGCCACGCGTTCCTTCAGGGTGCGGATCCCTCGGACCCAGTGCCTCGCCTCCTCCTCACATGGGCAGAGGAGGTCCAGACTCTTCCTGGCTCCTCTGAACACCACCGTGAAGCACTGATTCTCTGGTACCGACCCAGATAGCCTCCGCAGAGCCTCAGACTGGCAGCCCTCACGCACACACTCCACCTCTGTCACTGAGACTGGCACAGAGAGATGTTGGGGAGGGGAGGTGGAAAAGGAGACAGTGGGAGAAACAGAGAAGACAGAGTAATTGTATCAATCTGGGTGTAGGAATAAACAGAATACAAACAGGGCACCAAAACACGTGGAACTTGGAGGGAGGCTTGGAGCTGAAAGGTTGTGAACTCTAGGGAGAGTGTGGTAACACCCACGTAGCAGTTTGACATGGCATCTCGGTGCTGGGGTCCTGATTTGGCTCTTAAATAATACGACCTGTACAGACAGACCTGTGTCAGCTGCGGCGGCAGAATATGTTTACGACTCAGGCCTACATTCATCTGCATGACGAGGTCCAAATTTAACCAGCAACTCCACAACACTCAGGGCACAGCAGTCAAACTGACACTCAAGTGTAGGCAGGACCTTTAGCCCAATGCCATGAGGTGTTTGTGTGTGTAAAGAGATAAAGGAAGACAGAAGAACGCCATCTCATTGACTTTTAGAGAGATTTGCATCTATTTCAGCTCTTATTTCTAACAGTAACATCTGTGGTGAAACCTATGCCGGGGACGAGGGAATGGGCAGGGCTTTACACGTGATGGCTGACCCTCTACCCAGCAACACAACACCAGCCTACTACCCCATTACCCTCCCTGCACCACATCCAGAATAGAGCCCGGTGAAGGTTTCAAACCTAAGACTAGCTATTGGGTTTGTGGAGTAGCTTTCAAATCATTCAGTTGGTTATTTAAGTACATTTAGCAGTGCCTTTCTACACTGGGATCAGCTTTCGATAGTGACACACAGACCAACGATGGCTCAGCCACAGGGCTGACTGTGCCAGAGCCAGGGGCCATGGGCAGCCACTAGACAACTGTCTCTTCTGACAACGGCCTCTTTGTGCTGAACAGCCCCCACTTCTCCACCTCCTCAAAATCACTGACACATTCCTGCCCATCGCTCCATGACAAGGATGACATTTCAATGCTGAGAGTAGGGGAAAGTGTGGTGCGTGTGTGTGTGTGAGACTGGCACAGCCGAAGTGTTAAGTGCGGTGCATATTCTCTAAAGCCCATCTCAACAGAGGGGATCATGCTGAGCTGCAGGTGCCAGACCCCAAAGGCCCTTGAGACCACCTGTAGTCAGCATTTGTGTGTGCGTGTGTGTGTGTGTTAATAATCCTGTGTGTTTGGGTGTTTAACAAAACACACACCTTCGACGCCTGACGCTTTTGTGTTATCAGTAGCTGTCTGCTGAAGTGGTCAGCCTACCTTTGTCCTGTGGCCTGTCGTTGTTCTGTAGCGTTAGCCAAGTGTGACTGAAGTAATACTGCAACACCGCCTGTGGCCTGGTGGCCTGGTTGGGGGAAGACGACGTCACAACCACCTGACCCCCCACACCAGCCACCTGGCCTCGCACCCTACTGTACATGAGGCCTTATCCAGAGACATACAGTGCCTTCGGAAAGTATTCAGACCCACATTTTGTTAGGTTACAGCCTTATTCTAAAATGTATTAAATTGTTTTTTTCCCTCATTAATCTACACACAATACCCCATAATGACAAAGCAAAAACAGGTTTTTATATATTTTTGCAAATGTATAAAAAATAAAAAACGGAAATATCACATTTACATAGGTATTCAGACACTTTACTCACTACTTTGTTGAAGCACCTTTGGCAGCTATTACAGCCTCGAGTCTTCTTGGGTATGACGCTACAAGCTTGGCACACCTGTATTTGGGGAGTTTCTCCCATTCTTCTCTGCAGATCCTCTCAAGCTCTTTCAGGATGGATGGGAAGCATTGCTGCACAGCTATTTTCAGGTCTCTCCAGAAAAGAGAGAACCCCTAACCCTTAACGCATCCTCCAGTGGCGCTCTGGAGCAGGATTTCTGTACTTTGCTCCGTTCATCTTTGCCTCGATTCTGACTAGTCTCCCAGTCCCTGCCGCTGAAAAACACCCCCATAGCATGCCACCACCATGCTTCACCGTAGGGATGGTGCCAGGTTTCCCCCAGATGTGCCGCTTGGCATTCAGGCCAAAGAGTTCAATCTTGGTTTCATCAGACCAGATAATCTTGTTTCTCATGGTCATAGAGTCATTAGGTACTTTTTGGCAAACTCCAAGTGGGCTGTCATGTGCCTTTTACTGAGCAGTGGCTTCCGTCTGGCCACTCTACCATAAAGGCCTGATTGGTGAAGTGCTGCAGAGATGGTTGTCCTTCTGGAAGGTTCTCCCATCTCCACAGAGGAACTCTAGAGCTCTGTCAGAGTGACCATCGGGTTCTTAGTCACCTACCTGACCAAGGCCCTTCTCCCCCGATTGCTCAGTTTGGCCGGGCGGCCAGCTCTAGGAAGGGTCTTGGTGGTTCCAAACTTCTTCCATTTAAGAATGATGGATGCCACTGTGTTCTTGGGGACCTTCAATGCTGCAGAAATGTTTTGGTACCCTTCCCTAGATCTGTGCCTTGACACAATCCTGTCTCGGAGCTCTACGGACAATTCCTTCGACCTCATGACTTGGTTTTTGCTCTGACATGCACTGTCAACTGTGGGACCTTACATAGACAGGTGTGTGCCTTTCCAAATCATGTCCAATCAATTGAATTGACCACAGGTGGACTCCAATCAAGTAGGGGAAACATCTCAAGGATGATCAATGGAAACAGGATGCACCTGAGCTCAATTTTGAGTCTCATAGAAAAGGGTCTGAATACTTATGTAAATAAGGTATTTCTGTTTTTATTTTTAATGCATTTGCCAAAATTTCTACGAACCTGTTTTCGCTTTTTTAATCCATTTTAGAATAAGGCTGTAACGTAGCAAAATGTGGAAAACGTCAAGGGATCTGAATACTTTCCAAAGGCACTGTATATTTAGAGAGTTCGGCCAACTTTTAGAATTTTGAATATTGCTCTAATTCTAGACATCCAGTTACATAGCATTGTTTACATATTCACTATGCAATGTTAATGAAAAGCTAACATGTACTCTCCTGACCTTGACATTTATAACCCGTCACAAAACACCTCTTTAACCTTGTAATCGTTAACTGGACTTTGGAATTGAGTGGACATAAACTTGTCTCTGATGTTTCCACTCTGTGTGTAGGTGGGTGTGTTTGCATGCGTGTTATCTAGATCACTAGTATAATATGTTTGTACAGTATGACTCAAAAATGAAAATAAAAAATTCAGATTGACTTTGGCAACTCCAAAGCTCTAAGGACCACCAGCACTAATTCATAAAATGATATGTGTCAGAGACATATTGTCACGATCGTTCCATGATGAAGCGGACCAAGGCGCAGCGTGATATGCGTACATTCCTTATTTGCAGTACACAACACGAACCAAAACAACAAAACAAACGATACGTGAAGTCCTGGGTTGAACACAAACCTTCCGGAACAAGATCCCACAATAAACTGTGCCAAACAGGCTGCCTAAGTATGGTCCCCAATCAGAGACAACAAGCTACAGCTGCCTCTGATTGGGAACCACCCTGGCCAACATAGATATACACGAACTAGAACACAACATAGAAAAATCCACACCCTGGCTCAACGTATAAGAGTCCCCAGAGCCAGGGCGTGACACATATTTAGACTCTTTAAATGACAATCTCAATTATAGTAGTGTAGTAGCAGTTGGTAAGGCCAAACCCTGCAATTGGGAGTCATAAAGAGGTTTACCCATTTGGTAGGGCTATAATCTGACACAAGCGTGCACGCACGCGCACTCACACACACACATCCTTTGTCATGCCAAAAACAATCATTAGGCTGTGTCATCAGATCCCTATGGGCAGGGCAGAGGAGCCCTATATTTGCCTTATGGAACATGGAGAGGGGCCAGAGCCATGGCCTCTCATTTACCGGAGGGATATTTCAAGAGCAATCTGAGAGGCAAACCCTGTAGGTGTAGATCTATTAAACTATACTGAGATTTACTACCGGTTTAGGAGACCTGAGGACTCCAAGCGCTTCACCCGCTGCCCACTTATCCTTCTCCTTAAACCATTGAGCTTTGTGTGTGTGTTTTTGGTTTTACTATTCTTGTGGGGACCAGAACTCACAAGGATATCAAAACAAGGAAGATTCTGACAATTGGGGACATTTCGCCGGTCCCCACAAGGAAAAAGGTTAATTTAGGCTTAGGGGTTAGGTTTAGGGTTAGGGTTACAATTAGTTTAGGTTTAGGGGTTACGGTTAGGGTTAGGGTTAGGGTTAGGGGTTAGGTATAGTTTTAGGGTTAGGGGTTTGGGGTTAAGGTTAGGGTTACGGTTAAATGGAAATCAATTATTTGGTCCCCACAAGGATAGCAAAACTGTGTGTGTGAGTGTGTGTGTGTGCATGTGTGTGTGTGTGCGTGTGTGTGCGTTTGAGTGTGTGTGTGCAAGTATGTGTATCTGTGCATATGAGAGAGGGGAAGCGGTCAAAACTTTATGATTAGAAATAGCGTTCCCACAGTATAATGGGCCAAAACATCTAGGATTACTGCCAACATTTCCTCTCTCTTCTTTAAGGGGATCGTAATCATTAGAGCACTCATATGATGTGCCAGCTTCCCTTTCTGATCGGCCCATTGCCTGCAAACGATTAGCGAGCTGAGGTAAGCCAATATGTTGAGGCCAACGGATAACAAGTCTATGTACTGTGCATTGTTTCTAATGCAGATTGTGTCGTTTATACCTCTTTATAACAGTGGTTGACCGATGTGAACCTTCAGCAGGTATGGAGTTTCTGTGTGTACTATATGGATGCATTACTACAGGTGACACACAGGTAACTGCCAAAATAAAGGAAACACCAACATATATTGTCTTAATAGGGCGTTGGGCCACCACGAGCCAGAACAGCTTCAATGCACCTTGGAACTCTACTGAAGGGATGCAACACCATTCTTCAATGAGAAATTCCATCATTTGATGTTTTGTTGATGGTGGTGGAAAATGCTGTCTCAGGTGCCGCTCCAGAATCTCCCATAAGTGTTTAATTGGGTTGAGATCTGGTGACTGAGACGGCCATGGCATATGGTTTACATCGTTTTCATGCTCACCAAACCTCGTGCCCTGTGGATGGGGGCATTGTCATCCTATGGGGGCATAGCCATGGTAGCCAAAATAATGGCCTGCCCAGCATTTTTATACATGACCCTAAGCATGATGGGATGTTAATTGCTTAATTAACTCAGGAACCACACCTGTGTGGAAGCACCTGCTTTCAATATACTTTGTATCCCTCATTTACTCTAGTGTTTCCATTATTCTGGCAGTTACCTGTATCATACAATTACACAGGTTATAGCATCTGACTTTATTCCTGGCTCATAGCATAGTATCCCTTTAATTAATTAAAGGGAAATGTAGAAAAGAGGGCATTATTGTTGGCCAACATGAAAAGCACAAACGGCTTAGGACAAAGAGCTGGCTAAATGAATCTACTGAATCAGGTCTAAGAGGCTAGAACAGCTTGTGGAAGTCCTGTTCGTTTGTTTATACATTATTATTTTCCTGTAGATAGTCTTCCCTTCATGCAAGGCTACTTCTCCTAATCTGATATCGGTTAAGTTTCCTTTCCAATTATCGCGAAAGCCTCAGAATCTGAAAATCTAAAAGACCAAAACATCCCCCTCTTGTGACCACTCCCCATCCCCACTCCTCTCCTCTTTTCTGCTCACTCCCTAACCTTCTTCTAAATCTACACCTACCTTCTCCCCTCCCTTTCCCTTAATCTACATCCGTATCCTTTCTCCTTCTCCTCTCTTATGCCTCCTTTCTCTCCACACCCACCCCTCTCTTTTCTCTCCTCCTTCCCCATACCTCGCCTTTCCCCTCCTCCTCTGGCCCCTCCCTCCACCCCTCCGTCCCCCATGGTATACTCACAGGTCTGTTGTGCCTTGGCCTTGCGGGAGCTCTTGGTGGACTCACACCACACGGTGACCCCGTCCTCCAGCAGACGCAGGCTGCGGCTCTTCTGCCACCTCTGGGAGCGTACCTTCACCATGTTGGAACCGCGCATCATCGCACGGACATCCTCATCATCCAGCACCCCTGGAAACACACACACAACACACACATGCGCAAGGTTAAGGTCAAATACACTGTTACACACTTTTAGGTAACGTGCAGTATCACTGTGGATTTTCCAGTATGATGTAATATGGTATGTCACTGACACTGTGTCATTGTTGCAGAACACACCCTCCATGTCCTTATGTCATTCACTCTAGTCTAATTCAATGTTAGGCCATCCACACCAAGCTCCACTGGCAGTTCATTGAGAGTTCAGTCTGTCTGCTCTACTGTCGTGTCACACCCTGGCTCTGGGACTCTATATGTTGAGCCAGGGTGTGTTCATTCTATGTGGTTTATTTCTATGTTGGGGGTTCTGGTTTGTTGTTTTCTATGTTTGCCTTAGTGACTCCCAATCAGAGGCAACGAGTGTCAGCTGTTGGCTGGTTGTCTCTGATTGGGAGCCATATTTAACTGTCTGTTTTTCACTTTGTGTTTGTGGGTTTTTGTTCCGTGTTCGGTCATTGTCACCGTGGACGTTACGAGTCGTTTGTTGTTTTGTTCGTGCTTTAATTTAATAAAGCCAGGGGTGCGAGTCGTCAGTCCGGTGAGGCCCGGTCCGGCCCGTCGCTGCTCCACGCACCAAGCCAGGGGTGCGCATCGTCAGCCCGGTCCGGCCCGTTGCTGCTCCACGCACCAAGCCTGGGGTGCGAGTCATCAGTCCGGTGAGGCCCGTTCCGGCTCCACGCACCAAGCCAGGGGTGCGTATCGTCAGCCCGGTCCGGCCCGTTGCTGCTCCACGCACCAAGCCAGGTGTGCGCATCGACAGCCAGGTCCGGTCCTTTCCTGCCTCACGCACCAAGCCTGGGGTGCGCGTCGTCAGTCTGGCACAACCCGTGCCTGGGTCATCGGTGCCAAATCAGGTACCGCTTTATTGCTCCCCAACGGAGCTGAAGCTAGCCGCTCCTGCTACGTCCAGGTCAGCTCCAGCCAGCGGGGCCAGACCGGACCAGGGGCGCTATGGGGGGTTTATTGGAGGGTGGTGGGCAAGCCCGGAGCCAGAACCGCCGCCGAGGAGGAGTGCCCACCCAGCCCTCCCCTATTTTTCTCTGGTTGAGGCGCGGTCGCAATCCGCGCCTTTAGGGGGGGGTACTGTCACACCCTGGCTCTGGGACTCTATATGTTGAGCCAGGGTGTGTTCATTCTATGTGGTTTATTTCTATGTTGGGGGTTCTGGTTTGTTGTTTTCTATGTTTGCCTTAGTGACTCCCAATCAGAGGCAACGAGTGTCAGCTGTTGGCTGGTTGTCTCTGATTGGGAGCCATATTTAACTGTCTGTTTTTCACTTTGTGTTTGTGGGTTTTTGTTCGGTCATTGTCACCGTGGACGTTACGAGTCGTTTGTTGTTTTGTTCGTGCTTTAATTTAATAAAGTAAACATGTTCATTCATCACGCTGCGCATTGGTCTCTCCCTGACGATCGTGACATGTCGTAAATTTAAGTAGAAGTCTATGAGCCATATCCCTCCTTTTTGGCCTTCCCTCATCATGCTATTACAGTAAAATGACTGTGACGTATATTTTGCAGGATAGGGACTCATAACACTCAATATCATGTCAGGATGAAAACTGAGGGTTATGAGTCTGAAGAAAACAGGTATGCTAACAAACCAGTCAAGCACAACCCATTTAAAGCTATGTGGTTGTATTGTGTGTTGAGGGCTTGGCAGCAGTGGGCGTTCCAGGGACGACTCACTCACCTTTATACATACAGCAGTCCTTTGGAAGCACCACCTCCATAACTCACAAACACAGGTCATGCTGTCATAATTAGGGCCTAAACATAGGACTTTGTTTTATATACAAACCCCTGAAAGGAGCAACACTGAAACATGGTTGACATTCAGGGTACTGAAGCAGGAAATCCCCACAGAATCTGCTGACGAGAAAAGACAAACTTTTCTACATGTGACGACACAACCGTTCAAGACAGAGACAAAATCAGTAAGGCTGAGATGATGATGAGAGCTAGTTTATAAAGGCTACCCAGTGAATGGGTGGGGCTTGGATGAGGTCAAAAATTGATTGACATGTTGCCTGCTTTTAATCACCCATGTTCTTTTGTGCATTCTAGCGCCACACAACAGTTAATGGTGATATCGACATGTGCTGTCAAATATTCGAGTCTAGACATTGGGAAGTGCTAATTATATAGCATAGCAACACCAAAGGTTGATATCAGCAGACTAATTATTATTATTATTAACCAAAATGGTATCTGTTGCAAAGGGTGGGTGGGTTTTTTAAGTGGGTGTACATGTTTGTTTTTTATCAAAGAAACAGGCGTAGGTGTAAATATATATCAGAGCCTTACATTTTACAAACACACTTTGAAACAATTTTCTTTTACATATTTTGGATGAAGTCTGCTTGTGGTGGCCGATTTTTATTTTTTATGAGGCAGAATTGATTTGACTGGAATAGTGTCTAGTCTGGTATCTGTTGTTGTCATTTAAGCAATAATGCCTGAGAACCCGATAATTATTGTGTGACAACTCACGATAAGGCTGTTCTGAGGCCCGAGGCGAAGCAACTTTTTTTATGAGGCAGAATTGATTTGACTGTAATGGTGTGTAACGCTCAGTGGTCTAGTCTGGTATCTGTTGTTTTCATTGTTGATTTTGCCGCTACCTGCTGACTGTTGCAGTTACCGCACAATTACGTCTGCGATGTATATCTATTACGCCATACGTGATCACGTTCGAAACAGATCAGATAACATTTGACTATTCATTCAGTCATCAAGTTGGTGTCGTTGGTGGTTGAAAATGTATTATCCCGCATTTTATTGCAATGTAATTGTATCATAATTTTTTAAAAGCATTAATATGTGATACAACTGGAGATAATATGGAGAAGAAAGAATTTGAGGTAGGCTTTGTTTTTCAGATTTTTTTAAATAGAGATGTATATTTTTTATATTAAACATTTTAAAAGGCAAGATAAGTCTTGCCATCTGCCAAATTCAGAAATAGTGAGTAATTGGGTAAAGGTGATCGCCAAGGTGATATATAGTGATAAATAATGTAGGCTAATTAATGAGAGTTGAGAAAGGTGATATGTAAAATCTCAGAGAGAGATGCAGGAGGCTGATCCAGAGTCAGCCGGACCATCTCAGTCAGAGGAGACTGAAGCAGAGAGAGAGATGCAGGAGGCTGATCCAGAGTCAGCCGGCCCATCTCAGTCACAGGAGACTGAAGCAGAGAGTGAGATGCAGGAGGCTGATCAGGACTTAGCCGGCCCATCTAACACATGGGAGCCACAGCAGACTTTTCATTACAACCTGTCCTTGGCCCGGAGAAGCTCCTCCTCAGAACTCGAATTCTCAGGGGAGGAGATGAATGAGAAGTAGGTAGCTCTTTGTCTTCCCCATACTTACCTCCTATTCTCTATACTGTGTGTTCTGCAACTGACCAAAGAACCAATCAGAGGGTGTGTTTGTGGTGTACATGTATATAGGCTAGTCCCGTAGAGGTCAAGGGTTAGATAGTTTTAATAATTAACAGTACTCATCTATTTATCCCTTTTGCAGGCAATGGATTCTTTCGACTGAGAATATCCATGAAAGGGTGAGTTAGAGTTAGCGCTGGAATTTTCTAACATCAGGGAGACGGTAAAATAGACTATGGGTGCATCCCAAATGGTGCCATTTTCCAAATATATGCCCTACCTTTGATCAGAACTCTATGGGCCCTGGTCAAAAGCAGGGCACTATATAGGGAATAGGGTGCCATTTGGGATGCAGTCTAGATCAGGGATGGGCAACTGGTGGCCGTGGATCCCCTTTTGTAAGCCCGCGGATCAATAAAAAAAATGAATGGAACTCAGTCAGGGTCTCAACTTATTGTTGAGAGTTAGAATAGTAGAATACACAAGGTGCCGTTTTCAATTTTGGTTTTGCATCAGCAGTTTTTCTCTTGCTATGTCAGTCACTGACAGTCACTCAATTAGCCCATGTCAGCTAAAACATTTTTTGGGGGGTAAGTTAGTCTAGCGGCCAGCTATCTAAATTTGTAGTAATCATGGTCGAATGGGGAGGGGGCAATGGGGAGGGGGCATTGATTTTGTTAGTCACGCTCACTCAGATATCAAATGAGTAGAATTACATGAAAGTAGTTCTACAATTTCAAAATGTTCTCTCTGCCCCAGGGTAAAATGTGTAGAATTGCAGCAAACTTGCTTTAAAACGGCAAAAAATGTTCTACGCCACATGGCAAAATGTGCAGAATTGCAGGAAATTAACCCTAAAACTTCAATTTTGTCTCTCCACTGTCAAGAGGGGATCCGCTAAAATCATTTGCTGGCAGAGTGGGGGGCAGGCCCCAACAAAATGTTGCTTGGGGCCCCCAAAACGCAAGGGCCGACTCAGACTACATGTGTGGGTATGGATGTGGGAATGAAGACCCGCGAGCCACTGCGGCCCCTCATGATGAGTTCAGATTTTTTTGGCCCCCACGCCCATAAAAGTTGCCGATCCCTGGCATAGATATTCTATTACAATACTACAGTAAATGTACCAGGAGCTGGCGAGTCAGCACTTTGAGTCTAGACAATGGGAACCTGGTGAGCAGGCTTTATATCTCAACAACAAGGTCGGAGGAAGTTGAATAGAATAACTTTATTTAATAAGTTGTGGCATTCAGGTTAGATAATAAAGACATCACAATGTAGACAGACGGTGGATTTAATTGAATGTTCAATTTTAGAACAATCTTTCCCGGCTGTTCTTTTACATTACAGTCCACCATAGTTGAAGCTCATGCTAAGTGCAAGAACATCGTGTCATGGGTGAAGGAGGACTCTTCAACAGTGGTGGTCCCTGCCCTTGATCTCATCATGTACAGGCATTTGCCCTGGACACCATCATCATCATCATCAACTTCCTCCTCCTGGTCTTCAGTCGTAATCAATGAAGCAGATCTGGAAGCGGCCTCCATATGCCGCAGCGTCAGATTCAACCTTGGGCCAAGTCATGGGCCAAGCGAGGTCACCAGCCCTAGAACTGGTGCCAGGACACGGAACCCAACTCCCTTCCCCTCCCCCCTTTCGTATGTACCCCCCTGTAGCTTATTCCTCCCCATAATGGTTGGAACAGTTAATTCCTTAACTTCATACATGTGTATAAATAATGACTTCTCTAAAATGATTTATTTCCACTGAATACAGATGTAGGAACTTACGTTTGCTACAGCAGGAAAATAATCCTGCAGCATTAGGAAATGTGAATTAATATCTGGATTATAATTAATGGACATTTTTGAAGGGGTTGATACATTATTCGTAAGGGAAAAAAATCTAGTCTGAAATGTCAAAGTGGACTTCAGAAGCCTTTTAAAACCTCAAATACACTATACGTTTTACATTTCCTACATTGCAGGAAAGTTCTCCTGCAACAGGGTGATCAAATTAAGATCCTGCATCTGTATGACTTTAGTTGATTCTTTTAAATAATGTTTTAAAGCAGTGTTTGTGTCCAGAAAGGTTTGTTATTGTCGTTGTTACCATATCTTTGTTGTGGGCTGCTCTTCAGGTCAGAGGAGTCTTTGGGAAATGAGGAAGAAGATCACAACCCAAGAAGATATTCCTCAGCATCTGAGAACGGAGATAGAGAGGATTGGGACAGACCCCGCTCAGACCCCCTGAGGTCTGTGTTCGGACTGTCTCACAACTTTATCTTCAGTCAGGTTCACAGAGACGCCCGCAGGTACCTGAGTGAGGTCATACTGCCATCCATCCAGAGGAGACCAAAGAAGATGAGGCCTATTATTCTGTCTGCGGACACCAGGCTGATCATGGCCATTGTGGAGATCATCTTCAAGCAGATCAACGCCAGACTAGCCCAGCTCATGCTGATAGGAGGTGCCAGTCAGGGAGCCGAAGCTCCTTCCACCAGCATCAGCTCACCGAGCAGTCAGTTTGCTGAGCAGATGCTGCGGACAATCACAACCACAATGAATGGCCATACTATGGGACAGATGGCGCTCACTTGGCTGTCTGTAAAGTCCGCTAAGGAGATTGAGAGAGAGCTAGGACGACTGGCAGGTCAGGTCATTGTTGCAACCATCAGCAGCATCCAAAGGGGAAAGAGCGACGCTCAGACAGGACATGAGGTGCGGGTGTCCTACTTCCTGTCAGCGGTGTCGGCCAAGGTGCAGAGTCTGGTGGTCCAGAGAACGGAGACCAGGATGTCAGTCAGACAGTCAGTCAGACAGTCAGGAAGCGACCACCTGCTGAACCTGTCTCTGGCAAAGATCAACAGGGCCGTCGAGATGAAAATGGCTGAAATGTACGGTGGATCCCTGTGGGATTGGTCGCTGACAGAACAGAATATCCAGCTAGGTCACAGAATCACTGCCATGTCCAATGATTTGGTGGATTTGGTGGTCGATGATACCCTGGATGCCCTTGGTTATCTAGAGTACGAGGCATTTTCCAGGTCCCAGAGCGCTGGCTCCCGGACAGGGATTGAAGGCCTCGACATTGATGGTGTGGCAAGGGACATGGTCCGGAAAGCTGCAGCCAAACTCAAGGCATCCATGTCTGAGTTTGAGCTGGAGGGGGGATCCAGATACTCACAGGGCAGCAGTGGTCCCTCGAACCACTCACCTCTGTCTCGCTCCCACTCCGACCTGAGGATGCTCTGTGTCCGGTCAGCAGTGTCAGTCAGAACTGCCCTGCAAGTGATAAAAACAGAGCTTGACAGCAACTCAGACGAGTCCTTTGTTCCATGCCAGATGTCTAGAAACCTTCTAGCACGTCTAGTGTCGAGTGTCGAGAGCATCAGCGATCTGGAAATTGGTGAGATGCTCCAGGGCCCCTCAGCAATCATGGAGCCGGAGGCTGTGAGAGAACACCCAGACATATCCTCCACTGCCATCTACCACTCCCTGCTCATTGATTGTCCATTCCCACCATCAGAGAGGATTCAGGAAACAATTATTCTAAGCCGTCCACTCACTGCACAGGATGTGACCACACAGGGGGAAAAGCAGCATCCTGCTGACCTTCAGACCGACAACCTAATGGCAGAATACTCTGCCAAGGCCCAAGGGGTAGTGACTCAGGTCATAAGAGATGCTTCTTTGACCATGGACATCCTTTCAGCCCACGTCTCCTCAAGGAACATTGCTGAGGCCTCAACTAGCATTCTTGAGTCCCTTCTAGTGGACTTAAACGAGGAAATTGAGGTGAGTAAGGCAGGTAGGATCAAGTTCTGGGAACAGGTCCAGTTATCCTCCCAGAAACTTTACAGCACAGCTGTGAACGAGCTGAAGAGTTTGTACACTGGTTGCCACCTCACCAATGAGCAGGACCACCAGGATACCCATTTAACTGCTGACAAAATCCAGGACATGGAAGTGTCTACCAACAATGACCTCAAAGACCCAACAGTTGCAGTCAGCCAGGAGTCAGTCAGACACAGCGCCAAGAAGATCCTCAGCAAGGTTCTGAATGTGATCAAGGCCGGAGTAGCTGCCTCAGAGCACTCATCTGTGGGTGAGCAGATGACCGAAGAGTGGCAGGTTGCCATGGAGATGTTTGACTCCATTCTGAACAGGCTAGAAGATGATGAGCCTGATGTGGGTGAAGAGGATCATCTTCATGTGATGTCGGTCCATGACATCTACCAGGATGTCTCATCTAAAACCTCTCAGGTTTGTATGGCGGTGACTGGCCAGGCGATGGACACGCTGACCGATGATGTGTCAGCCGCGACCTCTGTGCGTGGTAAGTAAAATGACCACTTTTCATTTATTTTATTTTGTAATATGCACTAAATTGATTTTATTTATTTATTTTTTTTCTCCACCTTTATTTAACCAGGTAAACCAGATGAGAACAAGTTCTCATTTACAACCAGTGGCGGCTCCTGAAAAAATTCTCAGGAGGGGCAATTTTTCTGATGATTTAGGTGACCTACACACATTTTAAAAAAGATATGTCCAGCAACAACATGAAGACAGGGGCAGCATATAAGTCAATACCAGAAGCATTTATTGACTGATCTGGGGAGATGGATTCCAGTTTCTGTGACAGATTATAAATAATCTCTGATGCCTTTGTTATATTAGCTTTTGGTTGAATGTACTGTCGTAGTAAATATATAATGTTATAGCTTGGTCTGACTAAAATCTTGTGCATGACCCATTTTGTGTTGGGCGTTTGTTTTCAATCAATGCTGTTCCTATCCTATAACAATGGACAAAAGAGTCCTATCTTGTCAGCCTTGTCAGCAGGTGGCCAAGGACAACACCCACGCCATAGGTCTCTCAGTTCTTCCAACTCACGAGTTCTTGCTCTGAGGACACACACACACACACACACACACACACACACACACACACATCATCACTGATAACACACACACACACACACATCATCACTGTTAAACACACACACACACACACACAAAAATCCCCTCTCTTTAGGCTGAACATTTGAAGACAGAGAACCCGACTCAGAGCCAATGCAACAGTGGAGGGGACCTCGCCCAACTCATCAGGACCAATCAGAAGATCAGAACTACTAGATTCAACCTACATCATTTATTGTATAAAATGTCTGCACACAATGTTTTCGGGGCTCTCTTCAGATAGCTCCCTAAGAGTTTGACGAACGAGTCCGTGCACGCGATTCCAGATATCTTTACCTCTGAATAAACTGCCTTTATTATACCATATCCACCCTGTCCAAAGTCTCTACTTGGTCTCAGTTCTCCAGTAAACTTGTGATTATCAACAGTACACAACGGTAACAAACAATTGGGGGAACTCACGGGGCAGATAGTAAGGTCGCAGTGACACAGAAAGCAGTTCAATGTCGGGGGTACAGAGTCGCTCTCTTACCAGGATCGATTTTCCCTGTGACTGTGTCAGATCGCGGTCCGCTCTGACCAGGGTGAAGCCGGCCGGCTCCACTTCTCTGTCCGGGACTCTGTCATCCAGCCAAGTCTCCGAGCTGTATTGGATTCCGCTGCCAGCAGCGTTTTCATTATTTAGTCCGTTCGTAGCGGGTATGTACACGATCAACAAGATCAGTCCAAAACCCACCACTGGAAATCCATGGTTGGCAGAATGTTTGTAAACTAAGTGTACAAATTAAAAACATAAAATAACGTCACTAAGTGTACAAATTAAAAACATAAGATAACGCCACACTGCAGGTCGCAACAGAGACGCTGCTAGCCGCTATTTTCTTAGTTACGTTCATGGTTACGTCACGTATGACGAAAGCGCGTAAGTGCAAGCCCACAGACACCCATAGAGATTGTATTGAAAGCTTTGAAATTTGAAAAAAATAGATTTTACATGGGAGTCTATGACAGACTTCTGGGCGATTTTCAACATGACTGAAATCGCCCCAAAAACGGGCGGGGCCATTTGAAGCACGACTTTAGCCTGATTTGACATTTAGTGGCAGTCAGATCAGATTAGAACACTGATAACTACTGTTGCCGTGATATAATTGATTAGAAAAAAAATCCCTTCCTTTTCCCGTTTGGCAGTGCGTCGCCCATATCGCCCTATTGAACACACCGCCCCTGTTTACAACTGTGACCTTGCCAACTCTCGTGTCATGTAGGATTCACTCATGAGCTTAATAGTTTTATTGCAATTGTGTTCATTGGATTTTCAAGATTGTGTATTATTGTAAAATATACACAACATAACTATTTTATCTCTTCTGCCCCCAGATATTCTTCTGCCCAAATCAAAGAGAAGTCTCTTCCAGGCCACAAGTACCCACAGGTCAGGCACTAGCCAGGCCTCCAGTGACGTTCTTGCTGAGCTCCATGCCAACCGCCCTGACACCGCATTGCCTGTGAAGTGCACTTCTACAGCTGTTGCTGATACAGAGACTCGTCACGTCCCCTCTGCCAGAGTGAAGAAGAAGAGCCAGGGCCGGAGGTTCAGTTACTGCCCAAAGTTGCCAACAGTCAAGATCAAGGTATGGAGCTCCATGTTTGGGGTTTTTCCCCGTCATTACGGCTAAAATAGAATTCGAAGCTAATGGGGTCAGAGTGAGACATTGTGGGGCGTCTAATGGAAGGATGAATTTACTCGGCAACAGGTGTTCAAGAGCAGAGTGGAACCAGAGAGCCACCCCGCTCAAAAGGAGCTGCCTTCGCAGCGTTTCAGCACCTCTCGAGTTGCGCTGGGTAAGCGACACACAATGATGATCATTTGATTTTGATGCATTGCCAAGATGTGGCCTGTGGTCAGAGTGAATGCAGCTTTACTGAGTTTAATGCTGAGATGTATTAATCCATCCATAATGCTTTCTCTGATCAAGGCCACTGAGTTTGACGAGCTGTCAGGCAAACATTGTAGCGACTTTCACATTTCCCAAGGTCAAAATCGTAGATTCTGTCATTCTGATGTATTACCATTTGTTTGTGCTGTGGTTGGAGAGAAGGAAAGTACATTTGATATGTTCAATTCTGATCCTGCAATGTTCTCTTATCACAGATGATGATCATGCTGTCCCATTCATTCCCCAACCTGAGGACGACCTGCCACCTGCACCTGCACAGGAGTCCCGTAAACATCCCCTGTTGGTCAGGGTGTTCCGGGCCATTTCCAGAGCCATCTCGAAACCGTTCAAGGGCTGTGATTTTTGCAAGAAGAATTAGAAAGATTTAGCCATCACCATCTAATAAACATATTAGCAGCATTGATTTGTGTGTCTGCAGTCATATTTAATAGACTCTCTTGACATGGCATTTTAGTCATTTAGCAGACACTCTTATCCAGAGCTACTAGGGGTAAATGCCTTGCTCAAGGGCACATTGGCAGGGGTGTCATTTTTCACTTAGTCAGCTCGTGGATGTGAACCAGCAACCTTTCGGTTACTGGCCACCGCTCTAAACCTTCATATCTGCAAACACTGAAGTGATACGGGGTTGGCCCAACTGAACATTTCACACCAGATTTGTATGTTCCATTTGCTGTGTTAAGAACATTTCAATATTTGTAATATACTTGCAATAAACTTGCAAACTGAGAAGGCATTTCAAAGCAGCTTTGATTGTATTGACCTTGGTGAAAATGTGTTTAAATTACATTGCATATACAGTGGGGAAAAAAAGTATTTAGTCAGCCACCAACTGTGCAAGTTCTCCCACTTAAAAAGATGAGAGAGGCCTGTAATTTTCATCATAGGTACACGTCAACTATGACAGACGAAATGAGAAAAAAAAATCCAGAAAATCACATTGTAGGATTTTTAATTAATTAATTAGCAAATTATGGTGAAAAATAAGTATTTGGTCAATAACAAAAGTTTCTCAATACTTTGTTATATACCCTTTGTTGGCAATGACACAGGTCAAACGTTTTCTGTAAGTCTTCACAAGGTTTTCACACACTGTTGCTGGTATTTTGGCCCATTATTCCTCGCAGATCTCCTCTAGAACAGTGATGTTTTGGGGCTGTCGCTGGGCAACATGGACTTTCAACTCCCTCCAAAGATTTTCTATGGGGTTGAGATCTGGAGACTGGCTAGGCCACTCCAGGACCTTGAAATGCTTCTTACGAAGTCACTCCTTCGTTGCCCGTGCAGTGTGTTTGGGATCATTGTCATGCTGAAAGACCCAGCCACGTTTCATCTTCAATGCCCTTGCTGATGGAAGGAGGTTTTCACTCAAAATCTCACGATACATGGCCCCATTCATTATTTCCTTTACACGGATCAGTCGTCCTGGTCCCTTTGCAGAAAAACAGCCCCAAAGCATGATGTTTCCACCCCCATGCTTCACAGTAGGGATGGTGTTCTTTGGATGCAACTCAGCATTCTTTGTCCTCCAAACACGACGAGTTGAGTTTTTACCAAAAAGTTATATTTTGGTTTCATCTGACCATATGACATTCTCCCAATCCTCTTCTGGATCATCCAAATGCACTCTAGCAAACTTCAGACGGGCCTGGACATGTACTGGCTTAAGCAGGGGGACACGTCTTGCACTGCAGGATTTGAGTCCCTTGCGGCGTAGTGTGTTACTGATGGTAGGCTTTGTTACTTTGGTCCCAGCTCTCTGCAGGTCATTCACTAGGTCCCCCCGTGTGGTTCTGGGATTTTTGCTCACCGTTCTTGTGATAATTTTGACCCCACGGGGTGAGATCTTGCGTGGAGCCCCAGATCGATGGAGATTATCAGTGGTCTTGTATGTCTTCCATTTCCTAATAATTGCTCCCACAGTTGATTTCTTCAAACCAAGCTGCTTACCTATTGCAGATTCAGTCTTCCCAGCCTGGTGCAGGTCTACAATTTTGTTTCTGGAGTCCTTTGACAGCTCTTTGGTCTTGGCCATAGTGGAGTTTGGAGTGTGACTGTTTGAGGTTGTGGACAGGTGTCTTTTATACTGACAACAAGTTCAAACAGGTGCCATTAATACAGGTAACGAGTGGAGGACAGAGGAGCCTCTTAAAGAAGAAGTTACAGGTCTGTGAGAGCCAGAAATCTTGCTTGTTTGTAGGTGACCAAATACTTATTTTCCACCATAATTTGCAAATAAATTCATAAAAAATCCTACAATGTGATTTTCTGGATTTTTTTTCTCATTTTGTCTGTCATAGTTGACGTGTACCTATGAAGAACATTACAGGCCTCTCTCATCTTTTTAAGTGGGAGAACTTGCACAATTGGTGGCTGACTAAATACTTTTTTTCCCCACTGTATATATATATACAGTGGGGAGAACAAGTATTTGATACACTGCCGATTTTGCAGGTTTTCCTACTTACAAAGCATGTAGAGGTCTGTAATTTTTATCATAGGTACACTTCAACTGTGAGAGACGGAATCTAAAACAAAAATCCAGAAAATCACATTGTATGATTTTTATGTAATTCATTTGCAATTTATTGCATGACATAAGTATTTGATACATCAGAAAAGCAGAACTTAATATTTGGTACAGAAACCTTTGTTTGCAATTACAGAGATCATACGTTTCCTGTAGGTCTTGACCAGGTTTGCACACACTGCAGCAGGGATTTTGGCCCACTCCTCCATACAGACCTTCTCCAGATCCTTCAGGTTTCGGGGCTGTCGCTGGGCAATACCGACTTTCAGCTCCCTCCAAAGATTTTCTATTGGGTTCAGGTCTGGAGACTGGCTAGGCCACTCCAGGACCTTGAGATGCTTCTTACGGAGCCACTCCTTAGTTGCCCTGGCTGTGTGTTTCGGGTCGTTGTCATGCTGGAAGACCCAGCCACGACCCATCTTCAATGCTCTTACTGAGGGAAGGAGGTTGTTGGCCAAGATCTCGCGATACATGGCCCCATCCATCCTCCCCTCAATACGGTGCAGTCGTCCTGTCCTCTTTGCAGAAAAGCATCCCCAAAGAATGATGTTTCCACCTCCATGCTTCACGGTTGGGATGGTGTTCTTGGGGTTGTACTCATCCTTCTTCTTCCTCCAAACACGGCAAGCTATATTTTTGTCTCATCAGACCACATGACCTTCTCCCATTCCTCCTCTGGATCATCCAGATGGTCATTGGCAAACTTCAGACGGGCCTGGACATGCGCTGGCTTGAGCAGGGGGACCTTGCGTGCGCTGCAGGATTTTAATCCATGCCGGCGTAGTGTGTTACTAATGGTTTTCTTTGAGACTGTGGTCCCAGCTCTCTTCAGGTCATTGACCAGGTCCTGCCGTGTAGTTCTTGGCTGATCCCTCACCTTCCTCATGATCATTGATGCCCCACGAGGTGAGATCTTGCATGGAGCCCCAGACCGAGGGTGATTGACCGTCATCTTGAACTTCTTCCATTTTCTAATAATTGCGCCAACAGTTGGTGCCTTCTCACCAAGCTGCTTGCCTATTGTCCTGTAGCCCATCCCAGCCTTGTGCAGGTCTACAATTTTATCCCTGATGTCCTTACACAGCTCTCTGGTCTTGGCCATTGTGGAGAGGTTGGAGTCTGTTTGATTGAGTGTGTGGACAGGTGTCTTTTATACAGGTAATGAGTTCAAACAGGTGCAGTTAATACAGTTAATGAGTGGAGAACAGGAGGGCTTCTTAAAGACAAACTAACAGGTCTGTGAGAGCCAGAATTCTTACTGGTTGGTAGGTGATCAAATACTTATGTCATGCAATAAAATGCAAATTAATTACTTAAAAATCATACAATGTGATTTCCTGGATTTTTGTTTTAGATTCAGTCTCTCACAGTTGAAGTGTACCTATGATAAAAATTACAGACCTCTACATGCTTTGTAAATAGGAAAACCTGCAAAATCGGCAGTGTATCAAATACTTGTTCTCCCAACTGTATATACAGTTGAAGTCGGAAGTTTACATACACCTTAGCCAAATACATTTAAACTCAGTTTTTCACAATTCCTTACATTTAATCCTAGTAAAAATTCCCTGTTTTAGGTCAGTTAGGATCACCACTTTATTTTAAGAATGTGAAATGTCAGAATAATAGTAGAGAGAATGATTTATTTCAGCTTTTATTTCTTTCATCACATTCCCAGTGGGTCAGAAGTTTACATACACTCAATTAGTATTTGGTAGCATTGCCTTTAAATTGTTTAACTTGGGTCAAATGTTTCGGGTAGCCTTCCACAAGCTTCCCACAATACGTTGGGTGAATTTTGGCCCATTCCTCCTGAGTCAGGTTTGTAGGCCTCCTCGCTCGCACACGCTTTTTCAGTTCTGCCCACAAATGTTCTATACGATTGAGGTCAGGGCTTTGTGACGGCCACTCCAATACCTTGACTTTGTTGTCCTTAAGCCATTTTGCCACAACTTTGGAAGTACAGTCGTGGTCAAGAGTTTTGAGAATGACACAAATATTAAATTTCACAAAGTCTGCTGCCTCAGTTTTTATGATGGCAATTTGCATATACTCCAGAATGTTATGAAGAGTGATCAGATGAATTGCAATTAATTGCAAAGTCCCTCTTTACCATGAAAATGAACTTAATCCCCAAAAAACATTTCCACTGCATTTCAGCCCTGCCACAAAAGGACCAGCTGACATCATGTCAGTGATTCTCTCGTTAACACAGGTGAGAGTGTTGACGAGGACAAGGCTGGAGATCACTCTGTCATGCTGATTGAATTAGAATAACAGACTGGAAGCTTTAAAAGGAGGGTGGTGCTTGAAATCATTGTTCTTACATTTACATTTTAGTCATTCAGCAGACGCTCTTATCCAGAGCGACTTACAGTTAGTGAGTGGGAATTGAACCCACAACCCTGGCGTTGCAAACACCATGCTCTACCAACTGAGCTACATCCCTGCCGGCCATTCCCTCCCCTACCTTGGACGACGCAGGGCCAATTATGCGCCACCCCATGGGTCTCCCGGAAGCGGCCGGCTACGACAGAGCCTGGATTCGAACCAGGATCTCTAGTGGCACAGTTAACACTGCGATGCAGTGCCTTAGACCACTGCGCCACTCGGGAGGACCGAGTGTTTGTCCTCTGTTAACCATGGTTACCTGCAAGGAAACACGTGCCGTCATCATTGCTTTGCACAAAAAGGGCTTCACAGGCAAGGAGATTGCTGCTAGTAAGATTGCACCTAAATCAACCATTTATCGGATCATCAAGAACTTCAAGGAGAGAGGTTCAATTGTTGTGAAGAAGGGTTCAGGGCGCCCAAGAAAGTCCAGCAAG